AATGCACATGACATCATATGAGATCATGTTACAGAGAATTTAGCAGTGCATGCTATGAACACAGAGATCAAAAGTGAATATAGAGAAATGTATAAGAAATGTAAATACTGTAAAGAATGTATGAAAAGAGCAGAATGAAAAAAAAGAATGAAGATTTGAAGATTGATCTGAGCTGTATAAGTCAGAGTATTTAAATATTTTTGATGAGGTTTTTCTATAATAAATAAAGAGATAATAAATGAATTGAAACTGTTTAAATGTACTGAGAGAATGAGAATTTTCACACACTGAGCAGCAGTGCATGAAATAAGTATATTAATGAATGTATAGATTGTAATAAATGTAGAGAAGTGTAAGAATAAGTACTCACAGACAATTATTTAGTGATTCACAGCTTGATGTAATATATACTAATAGCTACTAGAAGTATTCACAATAGAAAGATAAATATAGAGATTAAATATATAATAGTATTTAAGCTAAGTTATGAATAGTAGTCACAAACTTCAGTCTATATAGTTGTATATAGTCAAGAGCTGCTAACTCTATTAATTATATAAGAGATAGAAATAGAGATAAAGAATCTGTAAGAAGTGAGATAGAAGCAATTGCTACTAACTAGGACGATGAGGCGCCACTACATATTCTTGATGAGGTGCACGTGATGTCACATTACAGAGTTTTTTTGCATAGAGTGATGATTTAAGTTATTTATTTATTTATTTATTTTATTTTTGGCATATTGCAGATCGCCAACCCTTCGCAACAGAAGCCAATTGGCCAGCCGCGGGAAGCTTAATCTGCTGCACGAAATCCAGTTTGTTGCCTTTTGATTCGTTGCTGCAGCAACGGCCCCCGATTGCGTTAGGCGCGCCGGGAGCATTGCAAGCATCGCCCGCCACCGCTAACAACGCCGACAATCAACATCACAGCGCTAAACTCCGCTCCCCTTACTACCCTTACATACCATACCAACGAGCCCAGAACAATTCTTCTGCCCAGCTGTTGCTTGTTGCTTCAATCTCCCATTCCATATGCCCAAGCGACTTTTTCCACTGTCTATACCACCAATATATTCTCTTCTCCTCTCTCTGCGTACATCGCCGTTGTGTTGCACTTCAGGGTTGACCACAGCGCGCCTGCTTGTTGACAGCTTTTGGCGGGGTAACTAAATACATCACAGCCCAACGCCGCTATCAACAAGGCGGCCCGATAACACTCAATCGCATACTTATTTAGATACCTCGACATACTAGCAACCTCATTTACTGCCCACGCGCAAATCAATTCACACTCTAAAACCCTGAGATGGCGGTTAATATCCCTCCGTCTCCTGCTGGAAAGCAGGACTTACGCATCCCCCCTCTCCTGCACACTCGTTCCGGCAACGAGTTCTACGATCGCCCGCAGACACCAATTCAACGCGGTTTCACAAGCCCCTACAGCACCCCTCAGGGGAGCCCAAGCAAGAATCGTCTTCCTCCCGGCGCAAGAGATCTTCCCAGCGTATTCGACCATGCCTTGAAACTTACACCGTCTTCCCCGTCCAAGTCAGCGTTCAATGCGCCGTCATTATCTCCAGGCAAAGGGGCAGCATTAGGTGGTGATGAGGATTTGCCATCTTTTAGCGAAAGTGTCATTCATAGCAAAGACAGCGCGAACCAGCCTCGGATATCAAATAAGGAGAACACGCCCCCTGGCGCACTGCGGTTTGGCAGAGACTCGGCTGTCAATACAAACCAGGCTGCGGTGTCGCGTCAGGAACCGTATCAAACCAGAGAAACAAGCAGAAGGGGCCAATCACACCTTCGTGGTCTCACTCCAGAGGAACTAGAAAAGCTACAGCTTCCCAATGTGAAACGGCTTGCAAATGTGACCCAACTTTGTCAGTGTAATCCATTTTTTGTCAATGCCAGCTGTGTTAGAGGCCTGTTGTTGCTAATTATTCTCTTATGAATTCGTGATAGACTTCCTTGATCATTACTTTGATATCCTGAGCTACGTGCATAACCGCCAGACCCGCCATGCTCAATTCAAAGCCGCTTATCCCCCACCACCAGAAACCCCTACTGAAGAATACGAGTCCGCTTTACAAAAATATCTTGGTCGTGAGCGCGCTAATCTACGCAAACGTCGGACCAGACTTCGGCATAATGATTTCCAAATTCTTACACAGGTTGGGCAGGGCGGATATGGACAGGTGTATCTTGCTCAGAAGAAAGATACCCGTGAAGTGTGCGCATTGAAGGTGATGAGCAAGAAGCTCTTGTTTAAATTAGACGAGATCAGACACATTTTGACAGAAAGAGATATCCTCACGGCTGCCAAGAGTGAGTGGCTAGTGAAACTCCTTTACGCTTTCCAAGACGATGATCAGATCTATCTAGCTATGGAGTACGTTCCTGGCGGTGATTTCCGTACGCTGCTTAACAATACCGGCGTGCTTCATAATCGCCATGCCCGCTTTTATATCGCTGAAATGTTCTCATGTGTCGATGCCCTTCACGTTCTAGGATACATTCATCGTGACCTCAAGCCGGAGAACTTTTTAATCGATTCAACTGGACATGTGAAATTAACAGATTTCGGATTAGCTGCTGGAATGCTCAACCCCGGCAAAATTGAATCAATGCGCATCAAGTTAGCGGAGGTTGGAAACACAAGTGTGCCGTTTGGTAGACCAATGGAGCAGCGTAGCGCTGCAGAAAGGCGAGAGGGGTATCGCTCACTACGAAAACGCGAAGTTAACTACGCGAAATCTATTGTCGGATCGCCCGATTACATGGCTCCGGAAGTCCTCAAGGGAGAGGAGTATGATTTCACAGTTGACTATTGGAGTTTGGGCTGTATGCTCTTCGAGGCTCTAGCTGGATACCCTCCATTTGCGGGAGCAACTGTCGACGAAACTTGGCAGAATCTCAAGCGGTGGCAGAAGGTCTTGCGCAAGCCGCAGTATGAGGATCCCAACTACTTCTTGTCAAGGCGCACCTGGGATCTCATCGTTCGCTTGGTAGCTGCCAAAGAACAACGATTTAAGAATATCAAGGAGATCCATGAGCACGACTACTTCGCAGAGGTGGATTTCAGCACATTGCGAGAGCAGAAAGCTCCGTTTGTGCCTGAGTTGGACTCAGAGACTGACGCAGGCTACTTCGATGATTTCGGGAGTGAGGCTGACATGGCCAAGTATAAGGAGGTACATGATAAGCAGAAAGCTCTTGAGCAGATGGCGGATAGGGAAGATCAAATGGGCAAGGGTTTATTTGTGGGCTTCACTTTCAGGTATGATTCCGTTGATAATCTTTCCCAATTCTCGCGGCGTATTGGCTGAATACCATGTGTATTAACGTTTTCTCCGCTTAGACACCGCAAACCAGCCGTTGACAGCGATGGTCGGAGCACCCCTCGCAAACCCATCCTCACCGACGACGGAGGATTTGGGACCATCTTCTAAATGTATCTGACTAACCATGCACTTTCAAAATGCTCCTGGTGTGGAGTACTTGCATTGCACCTCCTTCCCATTTCCTCATTGACGCATACTACCATAGCCTTCTCCATTCAGTTCTTTTCCCTGAATTTCAGAGCTAGCTCGTTTTTCTTTCGTCGACTGGTTTTCAAAATTCATAACTCCTCACAGAAGTGGAAGAGATCGCGGTCTTGCTTCTTGCCAGTTTACTTTGTTTTAATATTTCCCCCCAAATATCGCTACCGAGAGCCGGTGACCCTGTGAATGATTTTCCTTTTTTTGTTCTCTCTCTTTTCTTTTTATCACCATTGTTATGAGCCAGGAGTTTCTCCTTCTCCAGGCTTCTTCCACTGAATATCTTGCGCCTTTTTTTATTTTTTATTTTTATTTTGATTTTGGGGGGCGATCATCCGGTCCATGCGAAACTATAAAGGAGTTGAAGCCCACGAATGGGAGGATTATCAATTTAGATTCCACGCCTAATAGTTAGTGGCTGGGCCTCTGCTCGACAATAACAAAATTGCCTATATATCCCGCCAGCACTCTCTCCTTGACGTTCTATGGCCTATTATTCCTTGTTCCGCGATAAATGCCTGTTATGCGCCTAAGGACTCTCTCTCTCTCTCTGTCATCTCTTTGCTATCCATTTGCGTACGATTGCTTTTCCTTGCTTCCATCTTTATAATTAGATATTGTCAACACGCATTGTATGTTCCTTACCACAACAACTCAAACTATCATAACTTATTTTTGCCCCCGTTTTCTTCCATACTTTATATCCGATCATGGGGCGCTCCTCTGCTGTATATTCCTTTCCCCCGCCCTTATCCTCGTTTCGGCATGCACGGTTTACCCTACAGACAACTGGTCCCCCTAAGCTTTTCTGACAGAGGATATTTGTATTTCTTCTTTCGTGCACTCGGTTTGTCTTTAATGTTTACATCATGGTTCCCTGGTCCTATTCTATCCTCTTAATTTTTTTTAAAAAAAATCTCTAGTGCTTCCCTGTCCGGCGTTCCGTACTTTAGCTTTTGTTAATTACACGAGTTTCCATCAATGCTTTCTATTACTTTTTTTTATTTTCTCTTCTTCCGTGTTCTTTTCTTTTGATGCAAAATAGAAGTATGCTTTCTCTCTCACGTTTGCATTAGATAACTTACGTCTCCGTCTTTTCTCCAACATAGACCCCACAAGCCCTCTTTCTATATATCCATCAAGAATACAGCGGGCGCACAAGTAAACAACCCCCCCCCAACCTCCCCTGACCCTCCGGGGACTTACTTGTTTGTGGAGTAGCTAGAAAGAGATTACAGGTCTTTATATTAAATCGAAGATGGGATGGAATGAGACGGAATGATAACTGGAAGGAGATGGATTTTCCTTCCGTCAGATGGTATGACATGCAGGCCGTGGGAGTACAGTATGTCGAAGCGCGATTCAGTAGGGAGAAGTATATACCGGGTAACAGTTGAGTGAGCATGGTGCCAACAAACTGATCACTTTTCTGGGCACATGTTCAACTTTAGCTCTCCCTCTGAAGTACACACTGCTGCCGCCGTGTACACATCTCACACATACTGTTGCAGTCATGTGTCCCACATTCTATCCATATAGAAAGCCTTGCGGACTAGATTATAAGATCAAGAACATTGATTCTTCTATAGATTATGAGACTCTTATTATAGGCAATAGAACTGCTGATCAAATATTCTAATTATATGTCTGTATCTCGTGGGGTGTAGGGACCTCAGGATGATTGTGCTGGATATGTCTACTGCATGTATGTACTTTGAATATGTATGCCCAGTATATGTACCTAGGTAGTTATATAACGGAGGAGGGCGAAATACACAGTTTTGTTCCAGTCCTGGACATGTTCTCATGACGGCCAGAGAAAGTATCAACCAAAGTAGAGAATAAAAATAAAAATAAAAATAGGAATGACTTGATAGTATGATACAGAAGATGCCTGTTTCCGTTTTTGTTCGCTCAATGCCGTGTGTGGGCAAACGTAGTTATGCACCCAGAGGCGCGTGCATGGCAGCCAGCGCTTTGCCCCCTGGATTCCGGATAAAAGTTTCAATGGTCATCGGCGCCCAAGTGTCGTGATCCTTTTCTTTCCCCTTTGTGGAAAACCCACGTCGTAGCCAAAATATTATATATATACAGTACAATGTATGGATGCTAACCGGGCAATTATACGCTTTAATGCCTCTCCTCGCCACCTCCGTCCCCGTCCCCGTGCCTAGTTATCCCCCAACCTCCTCTCCGAACAGGCCGCCTACCGCCTGAAACAAATCTCGAATAATCATCCATCATGATATGATACCAATCGTCGAACTCGTTTTTGCCTCCCTATTTTATTGCGGCGACGTATCCGCGGGAATCTCGCGCACCAGCTTTAGAATCTCGGATTCATTATCGCCAATCACTGCTGTACCGTTATTCCAATCGACGACCTTCTCATTTGGTCGTTCAAAAAGAGAATGAATGAATCAGCCTGGCCATCCGAGATATACTGCGTACCGGTGATGGAAAAGAAAACACAAAAACAACAGTAGTAAAACATAAACCAAACTCACCACAGGCCTCACAAACCGCCCTCCATCCTCCTTCAGCCTCCTCAGCGCATCCAACCGATCCCTCGCCCCCCGCACAAGATCACCCGGCCTCGCCATCGCCGCGCCGCCCCTCGTCTTCGCCACCTCCCCGCCCACTCCGGCACCCACGTAGTCCAAGATATTCTTGAGCTGGTCGGGCGTGGGCGGGTCTTCTGTCACGTTCAGCTCGAACTCGGAGCGGCGGCTGGCGGGGGCGTCGGAGGCTTGGTCGAGGGTTGCAGCGGCGGCGGCGTCGGCGTTGGCTTGTTTGAGCAGGGTGAGGACACGAGTGGAGGCTGGGAGGGAGGGTTTGTGGAAGAGGGTTATTACGTCGAGGGTTTTGTGCTGTGTTATTTTTGGTCAGTTGGACTGGGAGTGTGTAAATGGGAGACGGGGATGGGGATGCGGTTTGGCGTACGAAGCGGAACATTTTGAGGATATTTTTTCTTGGTCGTTAGATTTAAGAGAGGGTGTATAATTATTTTATATATTGTTGGGATTGTAGGCAGTTGAGTGGAAATGGGTTGTAATGAAGATGATGAAGATGATGACATGCAGAGTTGTGAGCTTTGCCGGCTTGGCTAACTCGGTGAACATAATTACGTCACTGTTTTAGTTACTGGTCGAACATACCAAGCAATTCAATTCCAGGTAATTAATTGAGATTGTGTACAAGAATAAACAGTAAAATAGGTGCTAGAAATGACTATGGTTAGTTAAACAGATTCATGATGTAAAAGAGATATATAAAACAACAATATCAGAAAGTAAAAAAATCCAAATATATATATCTAAGCTCGTTGGTTCTACGGGTAGGTATGCACATAGACCCCACAACGGCTTTATTATCCCCATGTCCAATTAACGATTACGTCCGCCTTTCATTTGCTTGCTGCTGATCGTGAGAATCGCTTTGAAGCGATCAACACGACGAGCAAGATGAACAAGGCCAATATCGACGTACTAAGACACCGCTGACTACTACCTGAGGGTGTCCATAGTCACGATTTAGTGCGTCTGTCTTTGCATCCTCTGCTGGATCACCCTGTGCAGGAATTTCTCCAAGTCCGCCATCTCCCCCGGGTCCGCCGAATGGCCCATACCACTATATTTGGAATTAGCGTTATCGCGCCCGTCAGGGCATGTAAAAGTCTGAATAGAATGAAAGAGGAATGGAGAAAGTGTAAAGAAAACATACGCATATTTATTAAAGTCCACCGACATTCCCAGTGCCTTCAGACTATCAGCTGACCTCTGGCCCCATTCAAATAGCACTGTAGAATCAGCATCGCCATGCGCCATGAAGACCGGAGTCTGCTTATTCGGAAACCCGTCCGGCATGAACGTCGATATCTTCTCGCCGAGTGGTAAATAACAGGACAGACCGAAGATGCCGCCCAGCTTCTCTTTCTGTGTGATGCCAGTGAAAAGTGACATGGCACCTCCCTGCGAGAAGCCTCCCAGCACGATGCGTGAAGGGCTTATGCCCTTGTCCATTTCTGCTTTGATGAGGCTGTTGAAATAGTCGCGTGATTTCAGGATTCCGCGCTCATCCTGGGCTTTAGAGAATTCTTCAACGGGTACCTATTGGTATTGTGATTTTGCAGGCGGCCATTTTTTATTTAGCAACTATCACTCGAACGGCAGGATCCTGAGGCAGGGCGGCTGGACGGGAAAACAAACATTCACTCCCAGCTTCACGATATCATACCAACCGGGCATCGACATGCCAAAGTTCTAATATTCAACCATCACACCTGCACATCAGCGAACTTCTATTCATAAAGATTCTATCCAATTGGTTTGCTCTCTCTCTGGTTCCTCTCTATTGGTGGGTGGGGATATTTTCGTACAATTGTAATGGGAATAGCAGGCGCATTGGGGAAAATAAACGCGACTTCATTGAATAAGCCACGACGCCGGAAATTATGGGCTAGCATAATCCTTTACATGTCCAAAGCAATGAAATTCGGTACGTCAGTTGAATGGCCGAAATTGTCTGTTGTTGCATTTCGCGTCACAGCGCGAATTGTAGTTATAGGGGAGAAAGAGGACGAGGCAAGGGAAGGTCGCGCGAGATACGGAACGTACCAGCCCGCACCACTGTACATTGACAAATAAAGAAGATAAAAAGTCAGCAAATAGTCTCTTTCCTTTCCCTTCAGCTCTTTTCCATCCTCCTCTAATCAATGCAGAGCCCCTGGAGACATTTACAGGGATCGCAGACGAACCTATCACCCAATCCATGGGCCATGATAACGGTGGCAGTGTGCCTTGTCAGGGCGGGAACAACGAGCGGTGCAGCCATGATCGGTAAAGTAAACTCTTGTGACAACAGGGAGAAAAGATATAATCATACGAGCACAAGTTTACCTCAATGCGATATGGTTCGACAAAAGGAACGTCTTGGCGCACTGAGGTAGTTATTCTGCTCGGATTCACCGCCTTTATTGGTTGCGGTGGAAGTTTGACTCAAAACTATAAATAAATACTTTTGGGACGGGAATTAACCTACGCGGAAACATTAATGGGTTTTTTTTTTTTTTTTTTTTTTTTTTTTTTAAATAGCTGGAGGGACAACCGATGGCATTTCATTCAGGATATATACGCTGCTCAATCTGCGCACTCATTCTAGGAGGCATTTCCAATATCATAAAAAAAGCAAGAAACATTTCGCTACCCGAAGAAATAATCCTAGAAAGAAAAAAGAAGCTGAGCACCGATGGGAGAAATAAATAACATAACAAAAAAAAAACCATGCAAACCAAATTAACTACAGGAGCGCACCGGCGGCCAGAACTGCCGCACCCAAAACTCCCCACGCAGCAGCTTCCAACGATGCTGCAGAATTGTTCTCACCACCTTGGTCGCCGCCATTTCTACCTCCCGATCCACCCTGTCTCTCTCCATTTGGAGTAGATTCATTAGCGTTGATGCGGCCCACTGACTCTGGGAAAGGCTTGGCAGTGACACCAGTGCCGTTCCTGCAGGAAGCATCGTCGTCATCGGAAGAGAAGGCGGTGAATACGAGGTCTGCGCACTATTGATTGACAAGTAAGGAGAGAGAAATTGTCAGCTCATGGCCTTTTAATCCTTAAGCCTTGCATACCCAGATATATATCTACCATCTGAGAACGGAGGTACTCACGTTATACAACCCGCCGTTGGGATCCCCATTCGTCACAACTTGCAGAGTCGCTTCCAGACCCTCCGTCAACTGTGTCCCGAGTTTCTCCTCGGTCAACTTCACGTCCTGCAGACAGAAGTCACCCAGGCCTATTTCCATGAAAGTCGGGACCAGGGTGACGTTGAAATTCGTGCCTGGATCCGGGCCAATGGCTAGCAGGACCTGGACGGCGCTGTGGTCATGGCCCATTTTCAGGGCGACGTTGAGCTCTGGGTCCATGAGGGAGACTCTCGTGCGTTTGCTGGAGACGGGGAGGCCGCCGCAGGGGTATTCTGTGAGTTTGTCATACTCGGTGCCGCGAGACTCTGGTTTGATGAGTTCGAAGTGAGCGGACGCGAGGGTAAGGAGGTAGGTTAGATGGAGGAGGCTGGTTGGGAGCTGCATGTTTGCGGCCGCTGCGTGGTTGCTTCTCTATGCGGGTTGGGGCCTTTGCAATCGGCGTCAGTTTACTAATAATCTATGAGAACAATGATGGACAACGTTGACGGAGTAAACGTAAACCCCAATCAGCTAGGGACAGGGAAACTGCGCAGCTCAAGTCAAACACATTGAAGATCCTATACATACTAGGAACAGAGGCTAAAAAACAGGACGGTCAGCACGGTGGCTCGTGAAAACGTGAAACCTGTGGGTATCAACCAACAAGCGGATTTGCTTCGAAAATGAACATATACGGAGTCACAATAAATAATAGAAAACACTCGCGAGGGGCATGCCAATTAATATTTAAAGCAAGCTACGCTTATGGCCCTACGGCAGCACACGGCAGAGGCGGCTGGGATATGCCGCCAAGGTGATTCTTCCTCCACCACGGGCTGATCGCCAGATGGCTCGGGCGTGGAGTGCGCATGCTCCACCGCCGGAGTTCTGAAATAATGATGTGCCTGTAATACGTATACCATACCACCCTCTTTCAGCGGTCATATTCGTTGGTTATCTAGTTATGCAATAATAATGCTCCTACGACGCTCCAAGTGGAGAGAAACAACTCTTGAATCATCAGAATATTTTAGATACACTTATCTTTACGCCATATATCTGGCCCTAGAGTACATAAAAAAGAAGAACAGCAAGTTTCCACATGTCTGATCGAATTGATAAAAGAATGCTCGGTAACTTCTCTACACTATCGCAAACAGACACACGCCCACGATCAACAAAAACACACAAATACACACACAAGACGATAAGAAAAAGAAAAAGAAAAGAACAAGAAGAATCTGCTCAATTGTGCTCAAAGCGTGGAGTCACAAACCCACACAAGAAGCCCACCTACTTAGCGTTTTGTTTTGTTGATTGATTGCCTCGTGGCGGGGGATTTAGCACGACGCCAAGCAAAAGAGCAGGGGGGATGAAGAATTGAGGAAAGTTAATAAAAGGAAGAATAAATAAAATAAATAAATAATATATAGATGGGGGGGGAAAAAAAGAACCAAAAAAGGCGGGTAACTAAGATATAATTCATGTTGTGTGTATTATAATCTAGCTAGCAAGGTTCTCTTATATAGAATGTGACTTACAGGAAGTAGCAGATATTGTCTTGAACTATCTTGGTTATGTCAAGTCAAACCTTGGAATAGCCATCTCCAATCCCGCGATTGGCTTTTTGAAAAGCAGTGTAAATTACCATAGATAATCTATTCATCTCGTTTGCGTCGCCGGAAACCAACTTTTAACATGTACCACATTTCTCATCCAGATTATCAAATGGATATCATTGCCTTAATCCCTCTCCCGCCGGGTTCTGGTGCGGCTTAAGCCTAATACTAACATGCCGATATATGTACACCTCTGTAAAGTGAAGATAGGTAAGCCATCAAACTCCACTCGGCTGGGAATATATGCTATATACTCAGAAGGTAATGCACATTTTACATATCAATTACCCAGCTAGATCTGCAATGCCCATGCATCCGCGCTCGGTTGACGCATGAAGGGATGTTGCTATGATGTGAACGGTCATGTCCTTGAGCAGCAATCCGTAGGGTTACCAAGGTTGGAAACTCGCCGAAGGTCATTGGATACGTTGTGAGAGGTATAACGGAAAATGTTAATCGAAACGGGGTATAAGGCAACAGTCGGAAGGGGAATAGCCAATAGTTGGCTCATGATACGTGACACGTTGTATATTTGTGTGTCAAGTTGTCAAGTCATTTTTATCCCGCCCTCGTACAAAGGAGGGCGGCCTGCAGAAGTGATACGGGGAAATGTAAATGGACTGTAGGTGCGAATGGAAGCGGAATTCTATTCCATAATGCTACATCCATTAGAAGAGAAAAGACAATAAACAAGAATGGGGAATATGTACAGAACGAAGAGCGGACCCTCCCCAAGGCACTGCTCAAATAAAATAAGATGTATCGTGCCATAGAACATTCGTAATACTGAAAGCAAAGCAAAGAAAAATGAAACATATTTTTAATGGGCTTCAGCAGAACTCCCGAATCGGCCAACAGCAAGGTCACCAGCGAAGACACCAGCCAGAACCGACATAAAGTAGCCAACATTCATAGTCATTACAGCCAACATGCTATATAAAAATACCATATTAGTTTCACATCTTTTATATATCTATTTCACTGTTTTCTTCCAATATCCATCCAACAACGAAAGAACAGGGCGAAACACTTACAGCAAATATCCCACACCAGCAAGAACCATCACCAATAGAGCCCGCGGTAAATCAACACTAAACCGGAAAGGTGGTGTACGATTCAGCGGCCGTTTGATAACCTTAACTTTCTCCTCGACGCCATGCGCCGTAATCAGCGTGGCCGTGGACGCGTTGGGGTCATCCTGCATCCGCTCTGCTTCCGGCGTATGGCCCGCAACAACAACATATCGGCGCGAATAGGCCGCGGCGGTCCATCGGTGATCTAGTTGGATTTTGACAGCGATCAGGACCCGGAATATGGCGGCGAAGAGAAGAAGGAATATACAGGTCCCGGCGTAGGCACCGGCGGAGTTCGGGGTCCAGGCGATCGCGAAGAGGGGAGTTGCTTGGACGTTTTGGAAGGCCATTATCATATGCAGTTCCCCGCCAGAGGGATGGGAGGATACGCCGTGGCCACCATGTTGAGGGGAGGGAGACATTTTGCTGTAATTGGTTTCGTGATTTTTCTTTTGGTTGATTTGTTTGTGAGGAGTTCCACTGTGTATGTCGATCCGTAGGCGAGTTTAGTTGTATATTGTGTTCACCAGGGCCGATTGAAAGAGGTATTAAATCCTTCTGCTTTCCTTGAGAAAGTATCCAAGGACACGAAGTATATATGAAAACAGCGAGTTCGTCGCACACGTATGTTCTGTCTTCCTATCACCAGTTCGCTAGAGTATGATATATCTTTCAAGAATGGGTTCGAAAGATAATAATAAAATAAATAAAATAAAAATGAGCGTATAGCAGAGAGGCAGATACAAGCAGTAACTCTGTCCCAAGCTGGCCCTTGGATGCCTCTTTAAAAGCAGACGGGAAAATTAGCCCAAGGGCGCGGTGGATACGGCACTTCAAACGCCAGGCTTGAAGATCTGTTATATCGGCAGGCCTTGAAATCAGTAAAGGGCAGAGTTGACCCCGACAGGTCGGACGGACTAAGTGCAACAGGTCACGAAGACAACTATGCAGTGGAAGAGAGAAGAGGGAAGCCGAAGCGGGCGAGACCTGGTGTATGTATATACCTGCAGGAAACGATTGAGGCGTGGTGTCTTCGTATATGCCCTGGAGGGGTGGTGAGCAAAAAGAGTACGAGAAGAAGGCGGAGTGCTTTTTAGGAGCACTTTTGAGCTAGATCCCAACGATTACCGGGAGCTATAATGGTACACTGGATCCCCGCTGGTCGCAGATACGGATGTACGAGATGATCTGGCGCCGCCGGAAGGGTTCAAGTTTCCTATGTCTCACCAAACCCCCCCCCGTCCATCACCTTCTTTTGAGTCCAGACATTCGTTTGTATCAGACTCAGCGTGGGGCTCCCCTGTGGCACCCAAGCATGATGATGACCCCTTGAGTCAAACCACCCGGCACGAGGGTTCTCAGGAAATCGCCCGCCAGATCCGATATCTGCACAGGCCGTTCTATCTTCGCTTCTCGCATCCTGGTCGCGGGGCCACGGGGATAGGCCAGATTTGCGCTGGATACGGTTTAGCCCACGCGGCGGGGGCGCGCTTGAGCACATTTTCAATGTATGCTGACTCCAACAGCAGCGGCTAAGAAAAAAAAAAGAAAGCCCGCCGAGAAGGTCTGAGATGTTTGCTGGAATATTGCCGGCAAATTCCTGCTGATAATGGCGTAATATTATGCTCATTTTGCCTCTGGGCTTTGAGTTGCTGATAATAAAAAATTACCACCGTGAGCGATTCCAGCCCTCGCGGAGAACGGCTGTCTGTGTATTATTATCTGTGACATCTGTGCTTCCACATTGTGCTTCCTATCCAAGGACCCTGCCCCGCTCTCAAGCGCTGAGCGGAACAATCGGTTCTCATAACTTCTCGTTCCTGTCGTTCCTGTGTTGCTTGTTTTTATGCGACGGTAGATGTTTCTCTGCTCTAGTCTGTTGTCAGCAATGGGAGGAACATAAAGAAAGCAACATTGGACGCCTTTCTTTCTCCCAGCAATTAGAGACATCAAAAGATATCATTGATCCCTTATATTTTCATATTCGTATATCGGACACTTTTTATCTGTCGAACATACCATACCCCCATTTTGGGGTAAACAACCAGCACAATGAGCCATGCCGGGCATGGAGGGGGAGGGGGAGGTGCCTCTACAGGAGATGCTCCCAGCTACTTCTATATGCAACAGATGTACTGGGCGGTGGTGGGGAGCGCCATCGGGGTAGCCACCGTGGGCAATGTCCTGAACAAGATTGTAGCAGCCCAGAGGTGAGTTATGCATCTTGCGCTCATCGCTCAATGATGGATATCTCACTGCTAACGGAAACGAGTTGGCAGACTTGTTGATTCGAGCCCGACCCCGTCGAAACCGAAATCTCTTTTCTTTAGCATATATGCTACCATTACGGCCATGATGAGAGAGGTTTCCAATTACCCCCTTGCCCCGATCATTATAGGCCGTGCCGAATTTCATCTACCCCCTCTCGGGCCGACGATGCTTATGCTTGCCAATCTAATCGTGGTTATGGTCCTCTGCTCATACAAAATGAACATGTTGGACGAATGGAGCTGGGAGAGTGTGGGCTATCGCACTGGATTTGTCGCTTTCGCACAGCTACCTCTAGTGATACTCCTCTCTAACAAAACTAATATCATTGGCCTCCTCATCGGGTCGAGCTATGAGAGACTAAATTGGCTTCATCGGTGGGTTGCAAGGACAATGTGGCTCACCGCAACCATCCATATGGGGTTCTGGTTCCGCTCCTGGGCCAGATATGATTACATTACAGTAAAGTTGACTACAGACCCCATAACACAGCGAGGATTCGCTGCCTGGTGTATCTTGACCTTCATTGTTTTGGTCTCGGTGGCGCCCGTGCGGAAACTCAGCTACGAGATCTTTGTGTTGGTGCATGTTCTTACATTTGTTGGCTTCCTCGTAGCTGTGTGGTATCATGCTCAGGATGAGGTGAGAGAGTGGGTGTGGATACCGATTGGATTACTCGTCTTTGATCGACTCGCTAGATATGCCTTGGTATTATGCTCCAACCTCTCAATTTTTCATCCGCGTCGGAACGCAACAACCGCACAACGCCTTTGGGCCCACGAGGCCACCTTCACCCCTCTCCCCGGAAATGTTACACGAATTACAGTGCCGAACCCAGTGATATCCTGGAAGCCTGGACAACATGTTTTACTATCATGTCATGGCCTGGTCCCACTTCAAAGCCATCCTCTTACCATAGCTTCGATTCCGGGGGACAAGAAACTAGAATTCCTAGTGCGCGCACAAAAGGGGGGAACGAAGAAATTTTTCTCATATGCGTCAAAAAATCATGACCTTCTGGGCGGGCGCTGCACTAGTTCCGGGAATGTTAAGCTTGTCGGAGTAGAAGGCCCGTACGGAAGGATAAGGCCGCTACGGCAGTTCGATAGCCTGGTGCTACTTGCTGGGGGTATGGGCGCCACATTCACCATGCCCCTAATGCGTGATGTTGTGGAGGGCTGGAAGAGCGAATGTCTAGTCAAAGCCCCCCAGCGTGGGTCTTTCCTCTCATCTCCCAACCGGTCAGTTACCAAACGGATCCGCTTTATCTGGGTAATTAGATCCCGATCACTACTCAGCTGGTTCTCTGAGCATTTAGATGCCGCCCTACAAGATATAGATGCATGCCAGCAGCGTAACCCTACCTTTAAGGGGGAGCTCGAGATCAGCATCTATGTTACATGCGACGAGGAGATGGCTTCAACATCAAAATCCGAACCGCAGTTGCCATCACCACAATCAGTGAAGCTGCAAATTACCAACCCTACTTTGCTAAAAAGTGAACTAGCCAGAGAAGAAATCCTGGAGAAAAACATTGAAACTATCTCCATCACCTCCGCCTCAACAACCGATGAATCCGGCCCACAAACGGGACGTAACGAGTGCCAACCAGATGGCGGATGCTGTTGCACGCGCGAAGTCACCGACGAAAATTCTTCCTTCCCACCCTGCAACTGCTCAGGCCCATCTTTTTCACCACAAACTCCTCTATCAGAACGAGAACAGACGATAACCCAAGAAAAATCAACCCTCACCTCAAACCCAACTCCACCACAAAAGCCCTCCCCAACAACAACCACCACCGCCACCACACAAGAGCTCACTTCCCACCCACTCCCAAAGTCAGTACTCGACCCTCGTGTCCGAATTCTCTCGGGCCGGCCCGACTCGCGTGGCATAATCCGCAAAGTCCTCGAGGTGGCTGAAGGCGAGAGCGGCGTCGTGGTATGTGGCCCACGTGGGCTTAATAGTGATGTACGTGGCAGTATCGTGTCGCTAAGTGACGAGCGGGCAGTCCATAAGGGTACGGGGGCCCAAGGGATATATTTACATGTAGAGAGTTTTGAGTTCTAATATCTCCTTTTCTTCGACTTCTTGGATTTTCGAGTCTCTGTATGTATCTTGGGACAGCATTGGCACCTTTTCTCTAGAATGAACGTTAAGCATAGGCTGGATATCTGGTGTTTGACATCAGCTACGATACTTTTATTTCTCTCTCTCTGTTTTTTTTATTCCTAGATAATATATTCTTCTTCAATTTATAAATGTATGTAGTCAAGAGGCTATACTCCGTATATAACATCTATCTGAGCTAAGATGAACTCGGAATTTTTCTAGTTACAAAAATAGTACAGATGACACTTCCGTAGCCGGAGCTGCATGGTCCGTGCTCAACTGGCGCATCTTCAAATCACTGACGACAATCAGCAACAACCTCATCACAGGGATTCCAAGCGCAGGGGAAAGTATTGATATCGACGACTTATATACACCGATTATCTTTGCCATTCGTTGCGGTCCAGACACCTACCGCGCTTGCTAATCTCAAGTTAGCACATTCCTAACATTTCAGGAAGTCATAAATATTCCTTCTGCTTGTCCATTGGTTTACTTTTTATTCCTTACTTGCATCGGTCTCCCGGGTTTCGTTTTCGTACATTAACTTCACATCTATATACGTGGGCAGTTCTTCTTTCCATCTCTCGATTTTGCGGAGGAAAAAGAAAGGAGGAAACAAGAAGATATCTGCTGCCCTTGGCGCATATAAAGCCAGATTATACTCGAAGGCAAAGATCCAGAGACTAAAGCGCCAACTCAAGCTTAAAATCTTGAAGTACAGAACCATCAAGCGGATCAAGGATATTCTTTCAATCCCCTGAGGTTTATGGGCCAGCGTCCCCAGCAGCAAGATCGAAAGTTTGATTCCCAAGAATTTTACTTTTGAACAACCCAAAATGCTTCAGGGAAATGATACTTTCGCATCTTCTCCCCCAGAATCTGGGAGCAGAAGCAACGAAACTAATAGTAGCATCGATAACAGTGAAGTAGCCGAGTGTCGAAAAACCACCATGAATCTCTCAGCTTCAGCTTCAGCTTCAGCTACCCCATCGACTCATGGTAGAAAAACTCCCAGCGCTTGGCAGGAGGTGATATCCACAGCCCGGTTTATAACTGGCATGTTGCACTACCCAGTAGAGAATCTGATGTATCTCGCATCGACGGTGAGCCATATCGGCTCAAAACTATTGGGTAGAAGAGTGTTTGCGCCGGAGAGAGATATGGGGGATCTAAGAGGCAAGGTTATACTTCTCACAGGAGGTATGTTCCGGACAACTTGCTCTCTTTACCCCTTTCATCACATAATAGAGGGCCCATGGTCTCCTGTAGACGGTGCGAAGTGCGCTGATCACCTAGCGTGTGTGTCTAACTATATCACCAGGAAATACTGGACTCGGCAAACAAACTATCCTCCAACTCGCCAAACACGGCCCATCCCGCATCTACCTGGCCGCGCGCAGCGAAGATAAAGCGCTTGCAGCCATAACAGATATCAAATCTTCCCTGAGCACCGAACAAACTTCAGCTACTGACATCCGTTTCCTACCCCTCGACCTCGCATCATTCCAGTCCATCCAAACTGCCGCATCCACCTTCAAGTCCGAAAACAGCCGGCTCGATATCCTAATCCTCAACGCTGGCGTAATGGCCTTACCGCCAGACACTACCGAGGACGGTTACGAGATCCAATTCGGCACAAACTTCCTCGGCCACTTCCTCCTTACAAAACTCCTATTACCTATCCTCCTCGAAACTGCAAAAGCCTCGAATGTCCCCCGCCAGCCAGCAACAGCAGACGTGCGGGTAATCTCAGTCTCATCCCTCGCCTGGCAACTAGCTCCAGCCTACAATCCACTGGAGACCATGACATCCACAGCGAAGCTTCTAACGGAGAACACCTGGACGCGCTACGGCTGCTCTAAAGCCGCCAACGTCGCGCTCGCAGCGCAACTAGCCCGCCTCTACCCGCAAATAACCTCTGTATCTCTCCATCCAGGTCTAATCTTGACCAACCTATACTCACCGACGAAGTTCTCTAATCCGCTTGTGAGGTATGCAACTGCTGCGGCGGGGCCCCTGTTGACAGGTGAGGAGGAAGGGGCGCTTAATCATTTGTGGGCTGCCGGGGTAGAGAAGAAGATGTTGACGAATGGGGCGTATTTCAACCCTGTTGGAGTTTGGGCGAGGAATTGGTTTGCCGAGGATGAAACCGTCGGGAATGGGTTGTGGAGGTGGGCTGAGGGGGAGGTTAGGGATTGGATTTGAGTTTGACCAGAGCTGTTTGGGGCAGTCCCCGCGTACATGAAGATGAAAGAGATGTTTAGATATATCGTATTAATATTTTTCTCCCTTTTTGCGCCGGTATGGACCAGTCTTCTCTTGGCTGTCACCGGGATTCTTGCTACTGTTTAGTAGATATTTAATGGATGACTCGCTTGGTCTGTGTTCTCTGCTTTGTCACTTGTATGTTCTATAACTTTCAAATTTTAGACGTGTTCGGCAGGTGACTGACTCCATTTACTCTTGATATCATTTCCCGTCTTTTTCCACTTCCCCTTGTAAATTCCGCGCCTCATTTCCCCTCCATGTTAAGCGCAGTTTACTCTACAGAACTCAAAAAGCTGGCAACTTGTGATGGACATGGTATTATCAATCATTACGAGGGATGCAAACAATCAGGGGTGGTTTGTTGCATTGAATTCGGAGCGGAGGAGTGAAGATTCAAATGGTTGAACGATGCGGAAATAAACTATGTTAACTTATGTTGCCCATCCTGGGGTGGATTCAAAGACCGGAAATTGAATTCAGGAGAAATATTTGTGGAAGGAAGAAGATGGTGGACCTTATAATGTCTTCAAACATACAGAATGATGAAATATCTTTCTGAAAGATTTTACTAATGTAAAGGAAAGTGTATGAAAAGTGAGGCAAAGCCGGATCTTTCCACCGCCTGCTTTTTTTTTCTTAATTTATTTGTTTCTGAAAACCCCTGTCGGCTTGTTTGCTCTAGGGGTGGGGAGTAGAGAACATGAGCATATGTGCCGATGCTATTCTTCTTGTTTCGAGACATAGGATCGAATAAAATGGACTTACGTGTATCCTACCCGGCTACCTTGACTGGTACATTTACATGCTGAGCATTTGTGAAAATTCACTTTCGAATCTTCATATACAGGAGTGTACGGTAGAAGCAGTGCATGTTTGATAAGTACGTCGTCTACTAGAGTTTATGACCGCATATTCTACTTCTAACCCTTTCCTTCTCCCTCTCCTTCTCCTGCCCCTCTTCATACCATCATCTCCCTCCTTCTCGTAGTCCTTCACCTCTTTCATTATAACAACCTCTTGTTCTCCAGTTATCATTATTCTTCTTACAACTTCCACGGTCGTACACACTTGTTCGCCCTAGCCATACAAACATCGACCCATAAACATCATTCCAACCACGCAGGCCAAATATGGACGCTGCCACTTTATACAAGCAGAAATGCTCGCCATATACCCTTTGCTAAAACCGACTAGCTGGGGTAAATGGCAATGGAACGGGCCTGCTGGCTGGCAAGAAGAAGACGAGAAGAGTAAGTGGGCTGTTGGTGACAAAATCATGCAAGAAACATGCTAGAGACTCTTCAAAGTGATTAATTCTAATCATACGTCTGTCCAGCCGGTGAGGAGCCGGATGTTTCGTCGACGGGGGGACGGGCCGATGACCCTAAAGATCCACAACAAATCCAAGGCCCAACGACTTTCCCATGGATTTCCCGATGGGCACAAGAAGTCAGATGTCCAGATACATAGGTAAAATCTTATTATATGTCGGGCAAGGCCGAGCTATCCGATTCTACGACATCCGTCGAAAAAGATTCCCACCCCGATGATGAAGAGTTCGTCGATCGGAGGTCTTCAAAAGGTAACCGAAACACTGCACCTGACTCTGCTGCCCTGGGCGATGATTCCCTTCCTAAAGGTGACTGGTTCATCGCTCAAACACCTGCAGAGGATGACACAGGGCTTACCTTGATGGCGGCCTTTGAGCAAGGATGCGGGAGTCTAAATCCTTTGCAGGGCCTGGACTCATTCTGCATATCCGAAGACATTGAGATGATAGGCTGCGAACCAGTAGAAATACTAGAGGAGGAGAAAGTGGACTGGGAATGGTCAGGGGTTCCGAGTCCGTATCCACGCATCCAGCAACCTTTAGAGCCACCTCTCGAAACCAAACCTGAGCCCTACACAATTTGGTTAGCTCCGAGAGCCCCGATCCCGCCTCCGGTAGGGCAGACGAAGGAGCAGGAAGTTGAGGCTGTTAACTTCCTGCTCGCCATTTCCAGAGATCATCCACAGCTGTGAGAAATCCTGGTGGGGGTGTATTTTAGCGAGGGTAGACACCCACGCGCACACCTCGGATATAACGAACAAGCTCAGGAAATTCTCAAGGGCCAAAATTGGGAGTGGAACTGGGCTTTGTAGGATATTCGCGAACAATGTGCTGCTGAGGCGCCTGCTCTGTACACGATACTCGGAGGACAGGAAGGGGAATTCCTGGAGCCCATTGCCGAGTCAATCTTTGATGGAAATGAGGACTTGTTCCCCAGGTGTATCAAGCAATGGCAATCGGAAGAAATGGAGCACGACAAATGCGCCCTTGAAAACATTCTGATTCTTGCAGGATGGTGCTGCAATCTAGCATCGACACGGGAGTGGCGTCTAATGGCGGACTTAAAAAAAACTTGTCTAAGGGATCGAATAAGGTCGAACTGCTACAGCAGGCAATTCGGGAGCTTCCCCGGTTCGCGTAGAGATGTATCGATGATCCAAACTGCAGGTCAGTTCCTCCACCCAAGTTTGCTATCGTTTGTCGTCGTCGTGTCAATCGATATAGATTCGCTTGGCGGATGATACACGTGACTGGTCAAACACGTGATATGTAGTTATTGTTTTAAATACAGCTTCAAACTTTTGCGTCCTGAAAAAGAGCTCAACCAGAACAAACAGGCCGCCGCTGTGCAAATCAACACCGCTCTCATCGTACTTAAGTCCAGCGGTTGCTGATCGCCGCCGCTATTATGCCCGTTCGTATTGTGTACTTCTGAGAGCTTACCGTTGCTATGGAGTACCACGCTGTTCCTTTAGAGGAACGCGCCAGAGACGAGAAAGGAAATATTCTCCCTTGGGGATATGTTTACAAAGAGTAAGATATTCTCCCCACATCCGTCTGCTTTATTCTCTTTTTGCTGCTATGTTTTATGTATTATTATATATGTATTATTATTCACTTTCACCTCACTCTCGCTTTGTTGGATGCTGTCACCATCTTTGTTACTCCTCGTTTACAATGCCCGCCGCTTCCCTACCAAAACTAACCTATCTATTAGCGAGTCGCGGAATCCACGACGGCCCCCAGAAGAGAGTGGTCCTTTTGGAAAGAGGCGGAATGCGCGTTACAACTCTACTCGATCGGGAACTCGAACGGGGACTCCAGCCAGAAAAGAAAACCCAAACGTGGCAGAGTTCAGCAAGCTTTTCGCGCAGCAACAGGAACAAGAACAGGCTCAATTAAAGCACCTACCTCCGTCCACTACCAATAATTGTAACGATCCACCCCGAAAGTCTATTGAAAAAGTTGCTACGGAGTGCGTCCTTTATGGCTACAAGACCAAAGATTCTGAATGGAAAGTCATTGACAAATTCGAGCGAATATCTCACGGCATGATATGCGAGGATTATTCCAGAACCGACCCTGATTTGACACCAAAATATCCCCAGCTACTAAGCGGTCGTGACGTCGTTATTCACCCGACTTTATCAGCTGATGCCAATAAGAAAGCGAAACGATATGCTGGAGGAGATCACTGGATAAAGGTCACATTTGACTCAGCCGTTGCCGCTGATCGTGCCTGCTTCTTCTCCCCGCAAGATATAGACGGTTTCCTAGTATTCTGTGAACCATACCATGGTCAGGGTCCACAACATGATGCTCCGATTCCCAAAGACTCTGCCGAATCTATTCGACTGCAACTGAAGCCACATACTTTAACTCTGTCTCAGTCCAACATATTCCTTCAAAAACCATCTGATCTCGACAGATCTACCCTTCCTCGCTCCTTCATTACCAATACAATCTCGACGGACGGAACTATAGATGACTCTGTTGCTTCTCAGGGATCCACTGTAACTGCCAGCTCTGCGACAGCCACTGATTTAGGCTCAGGGAGCACTCTGCGCCAGCGCCAAACTCAAACTCAACTGCAGTCCCAATCCGAACCTCCACGAAAACCTGAATCCGAATGTATGACCCATATTCCCACAGTTCGTCGTGCCGTTTTACGGCCAATCTCTGAAGCGCTACCTCCCCAACCAACTGTCATTGAACGGATCCTTCGGTCTATTCCAATTTTAAGCTGGTTTACTGGGGACATCGTTGGTGATGGGCCTGTACTTGGCGAAGATGGAACGTTCGATCATGACAAATCAAACGCTTACTGGCGCTTCTGGTACATGATAGACAGGCTGCTTGGAACTGACTTGTGCGCCCTGAAGGAAGAATCCTGACCCCGCAACTGCCATATCAACCTGTCGCCTTTATACATATCACCATCAACGACGCGCTTACTGCGTTCCCTCTCAAAATGCAACATCCGGCTGCATATTCCTCTCGACCCTGCTTTGGATAGCCGTTATGTCTCCCTTCGAACGACGACGTTTCATGGCGACCAAGGTCGTCTGCAATGGTCGTGGTATGGCTTAGCAAGGGTCGTGGAAATGTGTGATCACTCGCACCACAGAACATAAACTTACGGCTGCATTGGCAAGGCCCTGTATTTATACACTCCAAAGTAATGAACACACTTCATACTTGAGCTTTGTTATCGATCTGAAATGACACAGTACTAAAGCGCTTTGATATCCATCGTTTCCGCCTTGCCGTTTGTCTACCAGCATGGGATATATTTCCCCCGATATGTTATATTTACTTGTGCAATGACAAACACATCTTCCTTTGCCATACCTTTTTATCTTCGTGCGTTTATGAGCTTACTAGGTTTTAGTGTTTTGTCACACAAGGGTCATGTATGGCGTTCGAAATTTCGCAGGTACCTATTTCATCACCTGTCGCGTTTCGCCCTCCTGCGTCTTTGACCCTTCTCCCCCGAGATCTGGCGGGTGAAGAGCAGAGCCTGGCATTTCTTTCGACATGATTCACTAGATGTTGCCACTGCTTAATGTATTTATTTTACTCTCCTATTTAAGCAATTTCTCTCGGTTTTATTCCCCCTTTATGACTGGATGTCCTCTTGGAACTACTGTACCTGAAGACTCATATCCATAGAGAGAAATAAATGCCTTGCGTTGAGCGCCAAGTTTTATTTTGTCTCCCTTTTCTCTGTTGATGGAGCCCTTCCCGTAACTCTTCCCCTTCTTGTGATTGCCAATGCATCTCTAGTTGGCAACCAAGGTTGGTTTTTTGGATCAGATAGGAACCGAATGAGAGATATCGATACAACAACACAAAGTATCATTAGAAAAAGGCATACAAAACATTTAACCCTGCTTAGTGTGAAGCATATAGAATTCCAACGCTAAAATCCGTTCATCTGCGGAGGCTATTTTCGCGCACAAACCGCCAATGTAGTCAGTCAACTCTTGTCTTCCTTCACCCAGCCCTCTGAAATAGGGGGTCGAATTTCATGCCCTGCAGCATGTAATGAACCATGAGGGGTAAATGTGGCAAGCGACGTCATGGTATGAGGATCAATGGATGCTTGTATGTTGAGAGATATAAACCAGGACTTACAAGGCACGCTACTTTGCCTATGTTGCGCATAGCACATGGCTATGCTTGTGCACAGGAAGTAGAGATCAGGGGTCATAGGCAGAGAGCGCAAAGTAATGAGGGAAAATCGTAAAGAAAAATGATCATCAAACTCAACGCGGCACCAGTTGGGGCCTGTTTCTTTAAATCTGTGTGTTTTTCATTGGGATGCTTTATTTTGTTCCACGGGCGCCTTAAATAATTCTCAATTTTTCCAGTTTCCCCTTTTCTGATCATTTCTGGCTTTCGATCAGGGACACCAAAATGAACCGCCAAATAATAAAAACAAAAAGGGAGGAAGAAGAGAACGCAAATATAATTTTATGAAAATTGTTAAAATGGATTCCCTTTAGGTCGTATTTAGGATAGGTTGCGGTGTTTTTTTTGTTCAATGTCCGTCCTCCACAATCATTCAACCTTGCTCTCGAAGTTCTCTCCATCAACTAGATCGGGAATATCGTCATCGTCCTCATCATCATCCTTCTTGTCATCTTCACCTTCCCTCTTCTGCATGCTCTGGTAGCTCTCGGCCAGTTTGCGGAGAGACGCAAGTGAGTCGGGTCCCAGTTGGTTGAGGATTCCAGGTACAAGCTCAGTGAGCTCTTTGTCTTCGCCGTTGCCGTAGATGGCGAAGGTGTTGCTGGGGACGGAGGCGTGAACTATATTGTGGAAATTGCAAGGGAAGAAAACCAACGTTAGATATATAAATTCCAATGCCGAAAGATACCAGTAATAGGGGGTCGCTAAACGCACCTTTAGGGGCAGCGAAGTGAATGACATTTCCGTCTTCCTTGAACATGTTCACCTCCTCAATAGCCTGGATGGGCTGCACATTCAGCTTCTTCAACGACGTTTGGAGCTTCTTGTCATCGGTTCCGGATGACTTGTGGACCTTCTTCATCTTGCGTCGTGGGGTACCCTTGCCTCTATACATAGGAAAGACATGAAATCATTAGCCATCGAATTAATATAACCCAACCTTGCTCCCTTTACAGATAAAGAATCAACTGGTCATTTCCCGGTCACGCGACTAGGAGGAGCTCGGCAACTAATATTAGGATACGTACCCTACAAAACACCATAGCAGTCAGCGATCGTCCAATCGTTCAAAAAGAATTAATATTCCCCGGACAATAGTATCTCCCAGGAAAAAGATGGGGGGAGGGGAGGTTGGGCTTTCCAACACTTACCAATCCGCACACTCTGCTGGAGCCTGGCCAATTTCGCTTGATCCATGATGGGCAATTGAATGCGATGGAGAGAAAAAATCAAGTACCCGCACGAACGAAGGAGTCAGGAAGGAATGGTAAATCTGTTCAAGCCGTCTTTTGCCAGGAAAAAGCAGCGCACGAAAATTCGGCGAAATTAATTAGCCCATCCGCACACAGTGCACACACACTATCTATTGGAAGGTGACTGATTTGTGGGGGCGAGCAAACAACGCAGGCGGGCCGCAACAAGGTCGCTTTGCATATGGCTTCGCAGAGCAGTAGAGGTACGTACCGAACAAGATAGCGTTGAGCAGATGTATACAACAGGATTAGCTGAATGGCTGCTGGTTTATTCGTGCCGTCGATTGTTTTTGCTTGTGGTCGCGGCTCTGGGTGGTTCTGACGGCCAGATTAGTCAGCGGGTATGTCGGATCTATTATTATCCGAAAGTTGAGTACGCCAGTCTATAAAAGGCTAGGCTGCACAAAGTGTCGAGCTTAACCTAACCTCACGATTCGGAAGTGGATAGCAGGGAGAATTCGATTGAGAAATTTTGGATTTTAAGCGCGAGTTTCTTCTAAACAAGCGGGAAAAATAGAATGTACGCCCGCAGAACGGGGTATGAAAAGGGAGGGAAGGGTGGATTATTGTATTATTTATACATTGAGTGGATGAATATCTATATCTCGCGGTATGGTGGGAGCAAGAGACCCAAGCATTGCGGCGGGTATATACAAAGACCATCGGGAAAGAAAAATAACAATGCGATTGCAACATCCATCTGGTATCCAAGCAGGCGGAAAGAGTGAAAAAATATGACGGGGTAAAACTAGTTAAAAGGTGAGGAGTTTTCGAATTAACCTGTGCAAATGAACGACTGGGGCTAAATGAGCTGAAAAGCAAAACGAAAACGAGAGGAATAAAAATGTACAAAGTATGGGAAGGGAGAGCAATGTACACAGGAAGATTTATAACCCGCATATCTGTCCGGTATGGGGCCTGGCTTGCTTGGCGTGTAATGCAATAAAGGAACTGGCGGGTAACTCGCTAAAACAACAAAAGGATCTCGTCCTAGATCTAACCTCCAGATGAATTCCGAGTTTACGCCACGTAGATGACACTAAGAAAATCGTATAGGGAGAAAGGAAAGCTTAATCATAGTCGTCTGGTAGGAGGACCTTCAGCTGGCTCAGTTTGTCCTCGCAGTTGATCTCCATTCTCATCAGAATATCCACGCTGGCATTTTTGCTAATGAGCAACTGCGCTACGAGCCAGTAGTTGTACGCTCCCTTGAAGAATCCCACGCGCTCCCACTCAGTACTGGGAAGCTCGGTGCGGAGGGAGATCCATAGTGACCGCCAGTGCTCAAGAGCGACCTTAATCCCACTAACAGTTGCGCAATCTGTTTTGTTGATGTTTCGGTTTCCAAATTGTGGCATTGCAAGGTTTATGATCATATGGATGTGGGCGTAGATTTCTTTGCATGTAAGCTTTTGTTTCCCTTGGGTAATTGATATTTTAATGGGGTAGGACTTACGATGGATGAGAAGAAACATATCCATTATTCCTAGGTGTAATTTGTTCGTGCCGCAGTGAACGAAAAGGGGGCGGACAGGCCCGTTTTCCACGAACAAATTTTGAAAAGCCTGGTATACCGTCATCTCGCGGCTGAGCCGGAAGTCTGGTTCCAGAAATGGATGTCTAGCCGCAAATTGTGATTCGTGGCAAGGTAAATCGCATTGGATTTCGATGTTCGTCAATCGTGAAGGATAGTTCTGGAAAAATGGCATTGCGGAGTCGATCATCGATACGAGAATCATCGTCCTTGATGATATCAGTTAGGAGAACATCAAGTAACAATTAGTGAGGGGCAAAAGGCCGACCAACCGTATCCGACACTCTTTCTGGAGCCAAAGGTATTCGCTCATTTGATCTTCAAGGCCATGCCTACACTTTGTCAGCTGCATTTGACGTGCAACCTTTTCCATGGGTTAGTTGACTCATTGCACTGAAAACAGAATTCAAGATATTCGTCGGGTTGGACCTACCCTGACCACTTCTCCAAACCTAACCTCTATCACTCGATTCCTCGCAGCCCTAGAACCTCCCCAGTACTGTATCAAAAACATCAAATATCCCGCTTGGAAATTTTCAAAGCTCCTCCAGTCTGTCTTTATATCGACTCGGTCATGGGCTACTTTATATGATTGGGCAATTTCAAATTCTTGGGAATACACTTCGGTAGAGAAGATGAACATCTCTATTACATCGGACATCTTTTTCGCCGCAAGCCTTTCGCTTGCGTTCTCCGAATAAGTAGCTCCCATAAGGACGACAGCAGCAAGCAGAGTCGGAGCAGTTGTTTCAGGATTGAAACTCGGCTGGTGTATCATTGGGCAGTTATTGTGCCAGCTCTGAAAATAGAGAGCGACAAACTTTTGGATTCTTTGGGTCATTAACAAAAATCGCAGCTCATGCGCGAGTTCCATTGACGAGATCTCATCCAATCCCAACACCCATGATTTTGATAGAATTGATTGTATCAAGTTCGTCGAATACGGGCTTTCTGGTTGAAAATATGGTTCTGCTGAAGATGTTAGGGGAAGCCCTTGAATGGGAGTCGCAGGTGGGTGAGCAAATGAAGTTGGAGTTTCGTCAGGCTGGAATCGAGGGCCAGTGTTATATCCGCCATTAAAAAATTGAAGAAACCCGTCATTGTAAAATGCCACATCCACAGGCTGGCTCTCAATTCCTGAAACGGGATGATGGGTGTGAGCATTATCTGGTAAATTCACAGGCTCTCGCGTGCTCATGGCTTGGCTCATGTTTCCCACATGATTATGATTATGCTCAGGCCAAGAAAGAACTTGGGCTCTGTCATGGCGGGAAGGGAGGTGGAAGCCTTCTGTAAAGCTATCCGTGCCTCCATTGAGCAGGAATTTGACTGAACCCCGCTCAGAAGTCTGATCAAAATCGTCAGATTTCGTTGAATCTGTTATTTGAGAGTATTATAGTATAATGCCGGTGATTAGCGCATCCAGGAATGAAGAAGTTGATCACACCAGAATTAAGGATGATGACATACCGGTCCGAGTTTCACTATCATCATACGGCCTTGAACTCTGACGAGTGCATGGAATATTTCTCTTCAGGCACGCACCACATGGACAAGCCCCATCGCAACGTAACTTCATAGAAGTGCACTGTAAAAGAAAAGCGTTACTAAATTCGGCCATTCTCAGGCTAGGAAAATAAGGGAACTTACAGATTCACAAGCATGACGCTTCCTGCCTCTTTGGCTAGTCTCCGGGATAAGTCGATCCCCGCGCTGGGGGCAATCATGATAATGGTCGCGCAAATTATCGCTTTAGACGAAATAATCAGAAACTGTATAAAGGGCGGAGACACACGATGGAGCTCACCAGCGAGCGAAAGCAGCGCTGCAGAATATACAAGAATAGGGTCTTATGCCAGAATCTATGTTACATTTAAGCATAATTCCCTCCGCGAGTCACGGCATCAGTCACAGTTGGGGGAAAGGGGAAGAAACTGCGGGAGGGGGGAGAAAGGGGGGAGGTAAAAATCACATACGACGGAGCTGATGACGTTTTAGATGGTCAATACGAGTAAACAAGCGGTCACAGACAGTGCATTTGAATTGCTTCTCGGAAGCCTGCTTCATGACTCTGTTGAGGGACATTTGACACGGTAACCAGCTCAATGTGGCATGTAGACGCACCCTGAATGCATCGAAACGCATATATAACTCTGCCGGAGGAGAGAATAGGAAGAAATAATAAGTTAGGGCTCATGGCAGAATTGGGAAAGACTCCAGCTCGGTTAGCTCGAGTTGGCCAAAGGCACGTGGACGGTTGGATTTAGCCCCTGAGAAGCTAAACTCGAACAAGCCAACCGCCAACGCTTCGATTTCGGCCTGGCACCGTGGATCATGGAGACGTTGAAGTCGCTGCAGGAAACGATCTTGATAGATCTGCGGGATGTGGGCGCTGTGGCTTCTCTTAGTCTTAGGTTGGCCATCTGTGCTGACTTCGTAACTGTTGCGGATTACGCATCAGGCGGAGGCCATACTTCGCTAGCTACTCTGGCCACGCTCAAGAAGAGCTGTTGCATCTTTGTGGGGAAAGCAAGACTAGACGGTAACGTCTCTGGCTAATTACTAGGGATTCAGGATTGTCCATCGGCGCCACTGAGGGGCTGACGAACGAGGTCGACAAAGAAGAATAAAATAAATCAAATGAAGGAATCGTGCAAGCCTGTGGTGTACAAGTGCCGGGCAACAATACCATGCACTGGCACCGGAGCAACAACTCTAATATTGCTTCTCGTGCTAAATATCATCTTTGGTCGTTGAACCGCTCAATCTCAAACAGTTACTACCCCAGAGGGCAGCTAGCCGATCACTCTATCAAGGGACGATTACCCGCCTTAACCGAATTGCGAGGCAAGTATTCAAGTATGGTTATCACCGGCCCTTTTCTACGACTCCACCTCGACCGTCCTTGCATGAAGGGATTTAGGCTGCAGATCATGCAGAGCCGCTTTTTTTCTGCGTGGATTTGCTGGTAAAATGGAGTCTGAAAAGTCGAAGAAAAGGGGGGTGCATGACAACTCAAATACACTCCCCCGTGGTCCGCCCGGTTTCTTCACACAGGATTCGTTCTCATCAAAGGAAGCAGACTGCTGATCAACACGGGGCCATTTCTCGTTTGGTTACGAGATGGCGTTCTCTAAATAATGACCTGTTGTTTAAAGGGAAAGAAGGACCCCTTCTGAGCAAAGGACAGGGCAAGGAATGTTAAATTCTACTCCGGACGATTATTTCACCCGATCTCTACCCTCCGCACAGTGTTTAGGCTTTACCAATGAGACAAGCCTCTGAACTTAGGAGGCATCAAGTTTTTTGTGGGCACGATGAGACACTCTTGCGGTAGTGTTCTCTTTCCTCTGTCGTTTCTCGACGTGCAATACCTGCACGATGATGGATCGATTATGGACTCCTAAATCATGTGCATGTCACCAACCTCGTTAGACGATGCATTTGGGCCACAACCTTGGTGGCATGGTTGAGGTTGTACTTGACAATACCCACCTTGTTGATGTGTTCTGGACTACGATTAGCAATCCAATCGGACTCACTTAGAGCCTTCGGCCTTTGCTACTTAAGACACAGTTCAAGTTTGATTGGCAAATCAGGGCAGGAGAAAATAACCGTGCCCATTGCAATGGATTTATTGACACTTTCTTGTGTTAGCGATTGGTCGAAACTTGTGATCCATTTGCGTTTGAAGACGCCTGTCGCATGCGTCGGCATGTGTCAGGTAGGAAGGGTTGGAGGTCCATTTAGTCCAGGCAGTGAAACGCAGGAATATGCGGAGGCATATACCCTGAAATTGATCAGCCAGGGCTCACCAACGTCCTATCCCGGCGTGGCTATCTCCAGTGTTTGCCTGTGCTTTGTTCCCAGCCACATGTGCATGTACCAAGAAAGCGCCGCAGATGAGAGTAGGGTTGTTACGCCCCTTCCTCGTGAGTTTATCCCCTGCTATATCAACAATAGCACATGCAACATGGCCTAAACTAGATCGAGAAATTGTCTGAAAAAACTAGGCGTTCTTTCTGTGCCAGAAGTAATTGGCAAATGGAAAGCAGCCAAGAGTCGCAATTGCATTATTTTTTGCTCTTTTTTACGCATTAAGTTGCTGTCCACCGGATCATCGCTGTCACACCAGATCTTGCCGAACTTATTACGAGGAGATACGATTACCATAGGGCACTTCAAAACAACCACGCACTGGAGTTAGTAACAACGACAGGCTTAGGAGAAGGCCCAGTTCGCGAAAATCTGCCAGAATGGAGCTCAAAGGGTATGGTCACTGATTGATAGCAATAGCAACCTAGTGCATCTTTATTAGTCTATATAATGCACAACCACCAAACTCCGCGCTAGTGAAAGAGCTGCTTAGCTGCAAATCCTCAGGGCACCTACCCAGCAAGCCTAAAATAACACCCTCCTGTGGTTATGCAGCGAGAGACGCTATCCGGACCTGAGACTAAATTTCTACGCGACCTTCTTCTTAACCCAGCACAGCATTATGTCCGTTGCTTTAGCCCTCCCTGCCTGCGAAAGTCACAGAGACACTGCCCACAGTACTCCAGAAGAATCCACGGACAGCCACCTGAACAGAGATTGCGTATTCAGAGCCTCGCGGAGCTGCAACGGGTATATATGATCACTACACAGATTACCCTTTTTACTTCCACCGTGCCCTCTTCCAGAGGTGACGTTGAGAAGTGTTGAAGTTTGCCTCCCTGGTAGCTAGCAAGCACAACTACCCGCAGCGATGAATTCAAGAATCATCCTGCTCCCTGCTCAGTGTATTTCACATGGGTATTCTCCTGATTCGCATAAAGGAATATTAAATTTGATTGGCTGAGGTATCCCTATTTTGCTAGTCTTTAACTCGGCATGTTCCTTTGGTCACATTCCTCCTCCGCTAATGCCCGCTTGGGGCAGGGATTAGTGTTTTATTTCCAGGATAATATCTTCCTCTGTTGTGGATTTCAAGAGCGTTGTCTTTATTCGCCCATTTAAACCTTCTCCAAACAAGCGCCATGTCCACGCTAAATGGAGCATCAATCCCTAGCGTAATCAAGGAAGGAGTCTGCCCTGCAACAGCGTGCTTCAAACAGGGAGAAACCTTATAAGTCTGGGAGTGAATATCAATATTCGCTTCGAAAAAGTTCTGTACATCGTAAGTGTAAATTAAAAATATGTGTCTTCGAAAGGACGTGAAGATCACAGCTCCAACAAACAATAAGAGATAGTGAAGTGAGTTTTGCCATCATCGCTGAGACAGATTTTGTCCACCCGTTCCAATTAAAAGGGAAAGGAAAGGACATATGAGACGTATCTAAAGGAGACACGGTCCTATCAAACAAATAGTAAGAGACAAAAAGAGTCAGCGCTCTAGTAGGAGACGGTCAACATCCGTTTCATATCTGTGACAAGTCTGAATCCGAGACGTACCTCAGACATCAAGGCAGATAAAGACTGACAGTTAAATCAGTATGCAGAACGGCGGCGGAGACATATACAGAGAATGTTAGTATGTGTGTGTGTGTGTGTGTGTGTGTAAATTCATAGCACAAGGTAATAAGATGAAGTTATAAGGTCAGGTCACTCAGCTTTTCCTTGTTCCCAGAGAAGCCAACTATCAGGAAGGGTGTTCGGAACATTTGACCCCCTGAAGCACGATGTTGCAATCATCTAAACTCTTCTATCTACCCTAAATTAGCCCTTCACCTCTATCATCAGTTGTTACCTCGGTTCTCAAGGCCTAGCGCTGGAAAATTGATATCTTTATCTCAATACAAGAGCAGTCAGGCGCACTATGATAATATCTGTGAGACGTATGTGCAAGTTTCACGCAGAATGCCTGAGACGCTTCTAAGTCATCATGGCACGAAGATAAGTAGGTTCCTGGCATACTGCCATTCTTGTTCAGCGAAGTACAGGCGGATATGGATTTCGGCCAGTGATGATTTCTCAATCCCTTTAAATCAATTGAGAGTTTCCTGCCGTCTGTCTGTCTCTTGGAGCTGTGATGGCTGTCGACTCGCAAGAAATATTAATATTATTATTTTGCTCCTTGGAGATATAACTTGCTCAGTCACAATATCGCCGAGCGAGCCAAATCACCAGGGTGTAACTTACAAAGTGGCTCGCTTGGTGATTTTTCAAGCTGGCTATGATTGATTTGTGGCCCTTAAACAGACAAAACGCAGAATTATATACCGAGCAATAGACCCGAGCTTACCATTAAAAAGTGGACATGGCTTTGAACTTCACGAATGAATGTTTCTAGCTGGCATCACACAATTCACACGCTCTTAAGCACCCTTGCTCCGCCAGACCCATTGGGGGTGATAGTACATAGGTTGTCTTCGAAGTTCAACATATTATCATTCTTCAAAGAGGGACCTCTACTCTTGTCTTGTCACAGTTTAAAGCTCCAAATAGCAACGGAGAAGCGCCCCGGTTCATTTTGGCTTGAACATCTATTCTATTTTCAATCAAAATTTGAAACCACTTCACATTGAAAGTCAACATCATACAGGTCCTCAGTTCTGTCGTTCTGCACCACATATTCGTGAGACCTTCCAGCACTGGAATCAGAACTGGTGCCCGCCCACAATTACTCAGTTTGATATCTGCTCAGAGCAGGTAAGGCAATCTTTCTCTGACAGCTTCATGCAATGTCGCATGCATCATGACATTCTTTGGATGAACCCTTGCACCCTTTGCAAGAGGAGAACAGATAACTTCCTCATTGCAGCTAGTTGATGCTAAATGTAAGATAGTTTACCAACATCATTGGCAAAATTGATGCCCACTCCATTGGCTATCAAAAGCCTTGCAAGGATCAGATCTGGAGGCTCACTGCAGCACACAAAGGTGGGTTTCTCCAGTGGCAGATGTACAGTACATATACATGTACATGTACCATAGCTATCAGCATCACTCAAGTAAGAACAAGAGCAGGGAATTGTTTTCCTCGCAGAGCAGACTATGCACCTGCGAAGTATATTCCTTCCAATTCTCGTCTTGGTGAAATGGCATAGGCGGCCCTTTGGTTGTGTATCCGGAACACAAGGCTTCTTGGAATATATAAAAGTGGGGACATGTCCGGGAGTTAAATATCATCGATACTGGCACCCTCGTATAGCGACTTTCTAGCAACTTCGACATCTAAACGCCCGGCTGCCTACCACAAGGCGGTGATGTCGAACATTGAAACGATGTTGGTGGGAGTTGAATGCTATGAAGGCGACTATTTGTGTGGTAGATCGCGCACAGAATCTTTTGATGTCAAAGAGCCAATCCTAAATACTGAAAATTTCGAGTTGCGATTTTGTTTTTGTTCTCCCTTATGATTAGAGGACATGGAGTCTTGTTGACTTCTTGAGTGCGAAGGGGTCGACCCTATCCTGCTTTCGTTCAATATGATGCTGTGTTTCACACATTCACACTATCATAATGCCTATTTTTATGTTGTCAGCAATATGCTTGAGGCTGCGGAAGCTCCATTACTTACTATTGTCTCATCTCGACAGCCTATTGATCCCTTCAGACCAAAAGGTTTTTTAGCTTCAGCACCAGTGGTATACTAACGGGTATTTTGGACAGTGGGCAGTTTGCTATATCGGTCATAGGACCTTCAATAATGTTTCTAATAAACATGGATGGAAGGGTCCAACAAATGAAGCCTCAGCATTTCCGCTTCTGGTCGCAAGCCCAACCCCAACTACATCACTGGATCTCCTTGTCTGTTCATTTCACTCAACCTATTTCTTGCCTCCTTATTCCACATTTCACTCATTCACTTCACACTCTCTTCAAGGCTTCTGCCCCTTCAGTTTTACGGGAGCTTCTTTAACCTGCTTGGCCTGAGGGTCAGCTTTATTCTTCTCTTCCTTTTTCCTTTTACTACATTTCTTACGCCTGGATACTTGCATATTCACGACAGTTGATATAATAAGTGGGCCCGCCAGAAGTATCGTCTGTATATGGCCCGCTATTCGATGTGTGATTAGACCAGAGACCCCTGTGTCCTCAATCTCCAGAGTCCCTACCAAAACTTGCTACTTCGTCGGGATTGTCTGTGCTGTCCTCATTTCTACTTTTTTTTACGCCGTGACACTCCTGTCAGTATATATGCGCTTTTCCTTTCTTTTGTTTCTCCTCCCGCTTGGGCATTCCAGCACTGTGCGCCGTAGATCCCGCAGCGGCTCAGACGAGAGAAACAAGAGAAATCCGCTTTCCCTCTATGATAACCAAAACCCTTCGTTATATACGAAAGACATTGGGGACTGTTTGGGGGATTCTCAAATAGCTGTCACGCGTTTTGATGCTGCTCTCTATATGGATAAGATGACCGCAGTATTTAACTTGCACGGCAACACATCCATGGAGAACGAGAATCCGATGAGTATGTGCAATTTCATAACAGTCTAGCAATATTTCGGCAGGCAGCTATCTAATGCGTTTCCTATATATCTTGGTTTGTTTGTGTACGGCAAAAAACGATTCAAGTTCGTCTTTGACCCTTTCAGGGTGAATATATTCGGGCTCTCACCTCCCTTGCCGTTATTTAAGTCATAGTGGGGTCTAACATGGCTTATATCAATAGTTTATGCCCCCTGAATGCGAGTATTCCAATCAGGTCGAACATAGTCACCGCTCTTTCTGAGTCCGACATTTCTGTTATACCGAGGATCGCTTTGAAGATAGCACATTTTGAGGGTACAGCTGTTCTTCGACTGTTCGCAAATTCAGCTCAGCCGGAGATTGGCTGCTATTCTGCTGCGAGTACCAACGGCATTACCCTCGGACAGCCCCTTGCAGTAAGCAGTATCGTGGAGCTCTTCGTTGTTCTAGCTATCCTCTTGTCAACCTCACTGGCGATATATGGAACAGATCCAGCCTCTACGCGGGCACATTATGCTCATTCACCATCTGCCTTTGTGGCATTTTCCATCCTCCATCATATATACTTTACTGGTGCCCTGGCTATGAATTGCCCGAGCGTTCTGGTCACCTTCTGGTTGAATTTTGCTTGGTTTTCCGGTATGCTTTACAATGACAAGATGCAAGCTTGATTGATCAATTATTGGACCTGAAAGAGCAGATACAAAATGGTCCGCAGCGCAGTTAGCTGGAGTTGTCGAAACTAGGGGTGTTTATTTCAATATCTCCAAGATATATAGCCAAAACGCGTCCCTAAAAGTGAATGATCTGAGCAAACTCCAGACACGTTTCGAATTCCTGTTGGCAAAGCGAGAAAGTCCGCACACAACCACAGGTCCTACATGGCACGGAACGGCTCTAAGCCTGGGCTTCCTTAACCTGGAGACAACAGTGGATTGCAGGAACTCTAGCCTCTGGAAAAATTCCGGCATCAAATGCTTGCCTAAGAGGCTTTTCTGGTTTCTTATTCTGGTGATGACAGTGGCAAGTGTGATAACTTCATGAATGCCATTTTTGCGGGATATTATAAACTGAATCCTACCAAGGGTGAATGATGTGCTTATTCCTGAAATAATTGGACTATCTTTCTCGCATCAGACGTCCTACGGGCAAAGTTTGTCAGGTTTTTCATGATCACGTCACTTGCTCTATTCCAGCTTTCCCGAGGTGGACAGGCTACAGTCATTGGGATATGCTCCATTGTTTTCCTCATGTTCTTCTTCAGAATATGCTTAATGATGGGGGCTACGTCCTATTTTATCACATCAAGGACAGGCAGATCCACGTTTACTCCAGATCAGCTACTCGTCATACGTACCAGGATTTTTGGGTGCTTCCCTTGCTACCAAGTGTCTAGAAGAAGTCGTGTGAAGGACGACGACTGGAAATTTTAGTATCTGTTCCCTGGTGGAGAACGACGTGTGAACACAATCCGAATTCACCTCATGCTTCTCAGCCTCCTCCAATCCACGAAGATGGAAGATTTCTCCGGAGATTTGGCTGGCTCTCTGCTCGTTTCCGTCAATCCCGTTGGTGGTTGTCTGTGCCGTGGGTTGGCTACGAATTTTATTCGTGCGTGCTTCGTTAGAGCAGGTTCAAACGACCTATTAAATAGCTCAAGTATTTGGCCTCCTAGCAGTTGAGTGTATTGCTCTATTCTGTATTGGCTGGTTTAGGCCATTTGAATCTACTTGAATAAATGCTTTGATGGTTTACTTGGTCAGAATCAGCAAGGTGTCTGCAGTACCTTTGTCTTCCTTGTTTGACTCTCAATTCAACCTGGGGTGAATCACTGCTACCATTGTTGGGTTTGTCATTGTAATTATCCAAGGGTTTCTTACAATATGCTTGCTTATATTCATTGCCATTGGATTATTTTCCAGCCATCTGTCCCTCACACACTTTCACAAGGAACAATTGAGCAATGATGTATCGGATCTCACCCCATTTAGCCAAAAATCCGCAAGTCATACATGATGCATATTGAAAGAGCTTCACAGTGTTCAGCACCTCAGCCCCAGAAACCTTCTGGAGACACTGAGGTTCCCAGGAAACCATCTTTCCACATTTATTCTGTCCAAAGGTGCCTTAAGATTGAAGATGAGAGCAAAGGCATTTCTGGTTGTCTGCCATTCGGATGCTCTATCTACCCTCAAATACAAATGGAATGATCCTGAATCTCTGACATTGCTGCACCACCACACCAGCTATTTTTCTATACTATCCCAGTGCAGCAGCCTGTGTCTGAGAAGTCTGACATCACTTCCTTGAAATTTTTTGCAGGAGTATATCTCTCCCAAGGTGAATGATGGAGAGCAATGGAGACACCTGTTGTTCCCAACCTAGTATATATATATACCATTGTCAAAAGAAGGAAGATTCATCACTCAGCCCAAAGTAGTTGTTGTTCTTTCTATTATATTACCTTGCACACCTACCTGCCTTGTCTGTCGCTGTTGCATAATGTTACCGCCTGTATCTTGCTCCAGCAGGACTGTCAAGTGGAAACTACTCCTCACTGGAAGCAAAATGGGGCGTACATTGAGCCCATTATGAAGGGAAAAAGCTCATATCTTTTACAAAGGTGATATAAAATAGTGGAGGATGTTAATGAAGAATGGATGATTCACATATAGACATATCAATGTTGTAGAGCAAAAAGCTTTCAATAAAAAAAATTTAGTGTCTGTCTTGTTGAAATTTCTTCCTGCTCCAAGTGTATACAGGGGCAAGAGAATGGGACAGGAAAAGAGAGAATGATTGACAGTCAGTCTGGCAATGACAGATTTGCAAGATAGGATAATTCACAGCTTCAAGAAGACACAGTGGCTATAAAAGTGACGCATGATCCAACATAGTTGACTTTGTATTGTATGTAAGGAGAAACGTCCCCTTTTATGGGCTATGTGTCTAGAGCAATGATTCCGTAGATTCAGTCGTAAGACGAATGGAGGTTGTCCCTCGACTCTAAAAACCCATTAATATGGTGAAAGAAAAGGGGTGTGAAATGGGCACAAATGATACAATAGGCGCAACAGAGGTACCATGAAATATGTGAGTTACGCAATCTCGCTATTAGAGCCCTATGGGTGAACGTGCAAGATTAAGAGTGCCATACAGACGATGTGTATATTTCGAGGCAAATATTCTAAGGGGCTCGGGCATCTAAAGTCGCGAAATACTCCTAAGTTTGAGGGTGGGGTGGGGTTGGTTGACATAGATTGGCAACGAAACGAGGATGGAAAACAGGTATGAAATAAGACAGCAATATTTTCTGTTTTTCAATTTGGCAGCTTGTCATGAAACGTTCCTTAGTCGCTTTCGAGTATTAAACTGGTTGCAAATCCCCGCAGCTTTATTGACAATGGACCTAACTTCCCGCTGTATCAACTGATCCACTCCATACATGTTGCACCAGTCAATGTAATGATCGACCTGAACTTGAAAAGTAACATGTCATAGGATCAGCAACTAAACATCCGTGTGCATGTACTACATGTACATGTACGAAACCTTGCGAGTGGTCTGCAATAGCAGTCATTTTTTCCAATAAACTTGCAGAAGCCGTCACACTCAACGACATTGGTACCAGAAAACTGAAGCTCGCTTTTCGTCGGGCGCAGATATTCAGGAGACAATGTATCAGAATGGTTGAGAATAGTGGTAAATATGGCCATGATGGACGACATACCAACCTGGCAATCCCAAGCAGCGACAATCCAATCAGCTAGGATCATAAGAAAGAAACTGCATCTACTATCTTGTCTTGTCCAAGAATAATAGAATGCAGTAGCTCGATAGTATTCGGGATGGCAGAATTTTTTTTTTTTTTTTTTTTTTTAAAAAAAAATAGATATTGACCGAGAAGGTAAAAAAGCTCCCTTTTGAAAAGATAGGCTGCAAGGCAAAAACTTGAGCGAATTGTTAAAAACTTATGACATGACGAGGCCGGCGCTCAAGAGGTGGGGGAGGCGGTTAAGTAACTGGTGCCAACCTAGCAAATGACAGGTGGAAATAAAAAAAAGAACCTGGTGGAGCAAGCTTTGCAAGGGCACTGTTGCCAGCTAACCCAGCTAAGAGCACGACGTCCTTTTGCGGCAACGCAAACCAACAATGCAAAAGCTGTTGCCCTAGGGGTGGGTGGGAGGGAAATTTGGAAATATCCGGTGCCTCGAGGACTGGCAGTTCAGGAAGTCCACCTCCATGGAGATCTCTGATCTAAATACGTCACAGGAGCTCTCCCGCTCTGTATGAGGTGGCCTGGACTCGTGAGATACAGGACCTGTCCAAAAAGCACCACTTTGAGCAGTAGCATGGGGTCACTTTGCTACTCAACACACTAGCCAAAAGATACCTCGTTGTGGCCAAAAGTGGTTGGTGTTAGAAAGATGGGGATTGTCGTTGTCCTCTTCAAAGGTCTATGAACATTTGATCCCCTGTAAGTCGTGTCTGGAGGGGTGAGACGTAATTATCGCCAGTATATGCGACGTGTGAACTGCGCTTCGGACAGGGGTTGAGATTTGTGTCCGTTTAGCTGCAAATGCTCAGCTCTGGAGGAGACCTCAAGTGGCCAAACCAGGATCGTAAAAATTCGGGTATCCCTGCCTCAATTATCTCCATGCATAAAAAAGGGTTGTTTCACTGGGAGGAGAAAAACCACCGCCAAATTCCTGAGCCTCTGAGGGGAAAACGCAAGGCCGAAATCGGAGATGGTCAACGCCCATTTTATAAACGGCAAAGAGAAAAGTCATGCCCTCTGAAAAGGACCATAGAGGAGAACACAAGGAGTTTATGGCGAAGTATTTCAACATGAGCCTGACCACAGCCAATCTCAGAATATTTATCAGGAGAGGTTCAATACACCAATCAAAACAGACTTCGGCCTAAGAGAGCCATACGAGACAGGGAAAGCGTTGAAAGCTTCGGATGAAATTTCCCTGACGCCAAGTTTTGGCCGCGACCGGTGCAGACATCGATCGGAGGTAGTCATTTCCTAACTCTCAAGATAAGAGGGAAAGTCGTTTTAACAGAAATCCCGCTCAGAATGACTTAATGAAGTCGTTTTGCTTCCTGCATCATCCTGCTGGTGAAATAGACGAGTCTGAAAATCTTGTGTCATAGAGATGGCTATACCCGAAAGCCCATGAATTGCCCACCTCCTTTCGAAATAGCTGAATTCTCGAGGGCGCCCGATAGCCCTCAAAGTTGATTCGTTGGTTATCCTTGGCGAGGGGTTGGAGGATCAAGCTGGGCATGGACATGAGCAGGGCCGGGACCCCCGCCCTCGGTTTGTTCTTTTCGAGTTCTCGGGGACTTTTCATTTCGTTCTGTGGGCCTAAAGAGCATCGGGGTGAGACGGCAGAACAAAAGGCGGATCTGAGACAGGGTCTACAACCCTTGGCATATCTCGCTTGAAGGTCTGGTCGCTGTGGTCAGGGCGAAGCTTGCCAGGCATTCGGGACTTCTCCGGCACCGCTTGAGCAAAGCGCGAGGCTAACGGAGGCCTAAGCGGCGATTGGCATTCTTGTCCACACCCGTCAACGGAAGAGTCACCCCAGTGCAGTCACTACTGCAGTGCCTGTCACTGTGCCAGCTAGAATTATATTCTTTAATGAAATAACAATGACGAACAGCGATGATGATGGATTGTAGTTGAAGATGACAATACATGAGGCTGTATCTGTATTACATATCACGTGATTACTAGCGTTGCCGGGAGCCCAATCCTCCGGTATTTCCTATTTCCAGCGCAGGATCCAAGCTCGCTCGGGTTCTACTCCATGACATCAAACGTCTTCTCCACCGACGGTAGGCATTGATCAAAATAAGAAGAATGAAATGGGAACTTGTGAGTGAACCAGTGCAAGCAACTCCTCTTGCTGTGTCTTTCTGTGAAGCTGTGACTCGAACGCAATGGGCGGGTTAGAACTGGAGGAAAACTGGCGCCAGAAGTCAAAAACGGGCAAGCGAAATCGGAAGTCAGATGCAGACAAATAGACAGAGTATCTTTACCCGGAGAGCTGTGGATCCACATCGGATGAAAAGCTGACTTAATTCAATAATACAGTTTGGCAAGAATAATAATACGAGGACGTCTCCTTTCGATTTGAAGTATCCTTTTACCGACAAACCTTGCTGATTGAACTGGATTCCTAACTATCTTATTTTCTTATTCAGAGCGCCCGAGAACAGCTGGCAGAGCAGACCACCCTCCTCGCATATTCCACTCTCTCCATGGTTCGGTGGTTTGATTTGCCTTCCCACGTGAGAAGTGCATCATCGGATGCTCAGTCAGACCTTAAAATAGAAAATCATATGGTTGCTTGTTTGTGCTTCTGCCGCACGCTTTCTTGGCGAGTGCGATAACAAGGACGGTATGGTCTGGAGATCGGTCTATCCTTGTTAATTTCGTTTAAATAGGGCGATGGTTGGTCGAATTTGCCCGGACCTTTCATCGCAAGAAACGCGTGATGATTCTGAATGGCCAGTGGCCCCGGTCCAAGCACATATTTAGTTTATTATTATTAATCATATGTAACTAACTAGTTGTTAAGTTAACATAGCTAAGTTGAGTTACTGCCTTGTCAAGGCGGGCATGAGCTTGATAGCTAGCTAGCCCATGCCCAATCGTGCCGTGTTGGCTTGGGCATCAGGAATGGATTCCAGCAGATCACGGGTGAAGGAGGTCGCACGTTTTCGGGGTCGGTTCCTCTTTTCTCTCAAGGTTGAGAAGGCAATTCAGCATTTGAGAAACTCCAGCGTGAGATACGAGCAGAGACATGATAATTTCTAACAAAAACCAAACAAGATCAATGGTCGGTAAGTTAACAAAGATGATCGCTTCCGGGCTGACACGTTAAAACTCCCCGCTTTGGGGCGTTCCTTGAGCTTCTGGAACTTGCATCCTCCTCCAACAAGGTTTATTTCAGAAAGGTAATTTGGGACACCACCATCTCCATCAACCCTGGTTCTACATTATTAACAAATATCATATTCACGTACAGGAACAGCAAGCAAGCCCCAAGCCCCGGGCCCCGGTCCCATTCTTCAACAACCTGAGTTGGACATTGAAATATGAAATCCTCTTAGAGGTGTCTACGATGGAAAAACATTCAGTCGAATAAAATAATCCGTATGCCCAAACATGATCTCCACCCCAGCTCCCTGCCAAGTCTGGGTGGGTGACAATGAATTGCATGGTTAGAAAGGGGGCTATTGATCATGCATCCACAATAGAACTTGGCTTAGCTGGCTGTGATGGCCAAGTGCAGGAGTCCAGAAGAATTGCACCCACACCAAATAAACCGGGCTCAAAATACCAAACAATAATCCCTTCGAACTTTCATTAGATGAAATACTCCGTGCGCTGCCGCTGCATGGTGATCCGAGAACTAACAGTATAGGGGACGAGTTGAGAAACTGATTATCGCCGCTTCTGTTCCAAATTGGTAGAAAATGCAGGAGGTTAGTGGTGAAAAGCGGTCAGCCCTCTTTGGCTCGGAAATTTGAAAAGAGTTTGGGATCGCGCTCGTGTTAAATAATAATGGCGCCCATGTTGTCCCATGGCCTTGGATCATTGCAGAGCAAGGAAATTGGTACCTGATTCAGAAAACATGAGAACGGCCATTATCCAGGGAAACGACAGAAGAGTCCTATGGATACCTGGCAGCATCTAACCATACTTGAAGGTTGGTATCGGCAGTAACATGTGAACATTTTATGGCATTTTCATAATACATCTACAGCACATTTCAGGGGAATAATCCCCATAACATAACGCGCGAACTTTCAGCAAATATTACCAAATACCTTCCAATACGGTAGTGGTCCTAATTTCAGATTCTTCAATAGGCGCTAGCTCGCGGCGCTGACGGGCGAGCGGGTGCAACCTCTGCCAGCCTGTGTCCAAGACACACCAAAAGTAACAGGCTAACAGCAAGGGCTTGAGTGGAGCATGCTTCCAAGACACGTGGGATGATCGTCCCATGTGCCAGTGGTGCCGCAAAGGCCTATTTTTTCGGTTTAGTTTTGGGGCCGGACTGACGCTACGCATCACTGGTGCCACATTTACGGGCGTACGTCGTATGCAGTAAGCAGGAAAATAGGTGCAACATCTGCCTTGGCCTGGATGTTATGTCATATTTGGGTTCCTTGTTTGATAGGTATTATTAGTTGCGGTTTCAACTCAATTATGTGCTTGATACTATGGTGGATTAGTTACCGAGATTTGTTGGTGAGGTGGAAACTTCGGAACTTGCATGGCATCCGGCTCGAGCCCCAAAGAACCACCAGCCAAGGAAAGAAGCTGCCAAGAAAAGTTACGAACGCTGAAACACCAAAGGGTACGCTGTTTGAGCCTGCGCTAAGTGATGATCGTCTTGACGCCGCCTCTGCGCCGATGACGGCGTAGGGATCGCCGTGGGAAGTATGCAGCCTTCCATCAAATCAGAAGATGGGGAAGTGGAGATCTCATTATGCAGCGCCTAACCCCAAATAGGAACACATAAACGACAAAGAAGGCTCCCGCAAACGAACAACCACAGAATCTAATTTTCATCATGAAAATAGTCGCCCATGCTTTGAAGAATAATAATAAGCAATGAGCTTCAACCAGTGGAAAATGGCAAAAAAGCTGCATTTCTTAGCTTGATCCCAGGATGCTGATCTCGGGCCCATGACCTCGATCCTGCTCGTTTTTGGCAAAAATGATCATGGACGACATATGGACGTTTTGAAGCACGCCGCCATGCCATTTGGCAGCCCCAAACAATATTTTCTTTTTTGCAATTATCTGCATTTGCCATGTCAAAGATGCATGCTCGAGAGGTTGGGAATGATGGTCATACTCAATATTCGGGCATTGGCCAACAGTCGTTGGCTTTGAATACTACCATACCATTTGAATCGTTGACCCTTTGGTGGACACTAATAATAGCACATTCGGATTGGAAAAGTACAAAGAACAGAAAGTTGAATCTGGGAAGTGGAACAACCCGCGCTATCATTGGTGAACTTGATCGGAGATATTCTTCCCCTCACCAAGTTCCCCCCCAGTGTGTATCAGAGATGTGATGTGATGGAAGTTCCTTCAATGCTACCCGTCCCTCTGGGGCCACCCATCTCACAAATCAGTCACCTGCATAAATAATCACAATTTTTACAACAAGCAAGAATCTCGGCGAATGCGGCAGGATGATAAAACAATACCATAGGGGTTCAGGCAGTGATTTGCACTGTAACAAGCATCATCAAAAGGAGAAGGAAGCAAATCCCCAGCGTCACTCGTGGGCTTGTCCACAACTATGAGGATCCAATTTTTAGATTGGTACTCAGCTTTTCAAGAGCAAAACTGCGAAGAACAGCAATTGAAAATAAGCAAGGCTCCGCCAAGAACCCTGCACACCAGACAAACCTCATTATTATTATTGTCCAAGCTTCGTCCGATACTGCTCTTTTTTCTCGTAGAATCTACCCTACTTAGCATAGCGCGGAGAAACAAAAAGCTTCGACTACACTCGGGCTTCCACACATGCATTCCCAGTCGACGGCGGTATAACAAAATCTATGTGTAAAAACACAGAACGGGAGCCCAGAACAACATCCGTTGAGTTTCAGCATCGAGACAAGAACGCTTTCCATATCACCGGTCTTCCTCCCCTTTGAAACGTTCGACTCTCTTCAGGTTCCTTGAGACCGCCGTTCCAAAAATGAACAGCACCTACATGTACTCAATTCCCCATTCTCACGACAAATTATGTCCCGAATAGTCTATTATTTAGCTATTGTGTGCATCCCCGAAATTTCTCTGGCGAGAGGGAGTTCGGACGATGCATTTTTTGTAATCTTCCCCAAACGCATGCTAATGCAGAGGGTTAACCCATCGACGTTGATGAATGTCATGCCGACCTTCTTTTGGCGGTTTTAAAGTATTGCAACATGGGGAGTAGCGTTATCGTTCTATTATTATTATTAGATCACAGCGTAGGAACTCGCAGATTTTACAACCATAATTGCGCTGTTCCGATGTTGATTACTGGCTTAAATCTCGCGTTCAGATAAATGAAGTAAAATAAAATGGGAGAAACTCCGCCGGTTCATCGATTGCATTCCGCACCCAAGATAAAATAATGAAGATGGGCTCCCTTCGAAAGCCGGGGCGATTAGAACTGGCGCAGAATCAGGTGAGATATAACAAAACCTGCCTTGAGGACGGTTGAGGAGGAAAATTCAGCAGGTTTGGGAGTTATTATTAGTTGCTCATCGCATTTTCCTCACCGACATTATCAGACGTAACCTCATCATGTCCGAGTGTAATCCGTAGTTACTGTACAATATTATGACGGTGGTAGAAGAGAGAAGAGAGACGTCAAAACCGTGCATATTCAAGCTTTTAACCCGAAAATGAGACAGAGATTATCTATTATTATTCTGTAGTGCGAACGAGTGTTCTGGCGCACTGGCGCAGATTTGTAAGGCGGTGATCAATGATCAGATGGGATTTCAGCGATCCAGGAACAAACAGTACGTACGATGTTTACTGAGAGGGAAGGATGGCCGACTCATTTTTCAGTCGACTTCTAGTTGAAGATCTGATAGATGGATGGCTCATCGCAGTGTCTGACAACCATCCTCATATAGTGCTGTAAATCTGCAAATCTGCGAGCTAAGAATATTATTGATCTGGAGTTTGGAAAAAAAAAAATTAAATAAAAAAAAATAGCTTCATGGAACCTGGAAGCAGGTTAAAAATTGAAAGGCTCTGATTTAGTGTTTTTGTGACACAAGATTTGGTGGCGTATATAGGGCGGGCCATGAGGGTTGCCACATGGGCATTGAGGGTTGTTGGTAGGTGTCTGTCGTTTCCGGCGCGACCCTGGACAGACTTGATTTACTTTCTTTTTTCTTTTTCTTTTTTTCCACATATTGCTTCTTTCCAACTGGTAGAGAAAGAACGGGTTGGGTGTGGTTGTGGCTGGTAGCGTCTGGATTTCCTTTGTCCTCTTGACTGCTTGGTCGTTTTTGGGCAACCGGGCAAGGCAGACTCAGCAGATCTTTCTATTCTTGATGTATCTATCTATTTGCTTCTCTAGGTGGAAAAGAATGCAGCTTTTTATCCTTTCAGGGGTCCAAGAGGATGAGATGGGATCTTCGAAGATCCCCCCATCAATAATCTATTAATCCTCTGGAACGGACGGTGCCAGCAGTGAATGAGCCTCGGCAAAAACCATGAGTGTGAAACAGGGCTGTGGAGCAAATCGTCTTCTGGATGATTTACGAAGTGGAGCTTTCTCATATCGGGTCGCTTCTAGCCCCGATGCAAAGGACCAGAGCCCGGCCGGAAAGAGCATTGATTCCGGAACCGAACAGGGTCTGCAAAAGAATCCATTTGTCAGATTTAGATTGAGCGTGGAATCTGGGGACAGGAAAAGGACTGGATGAAGAATCCAGGAACATCGTAATAATATTTGTGCGCCGAGGATTGATTGTTGAAATCTAACAAGGCTAAGGAGCGTTGGCAAAGATTCAGTGATCGACCTGAAGTTTTCGGCAAGGTTCGTTAGTTCAATTCTGAGCACGGTAAGAATTTGAGGAACCAACCCCCAACAGAGAAATTATGGCACAGAACAGAGATTGTGAACAACCGTGTGCGCGAAGATAGAATCAAACCTGCACAACTCTGAAACGCAATGAACGTTCTTTTCCTTTTTTCTCTGCCGTCTCGGCAAGACAGGAGGACTGACCCAGCATAACAAGCCAACAGCTAAGCCAGTTTTTGGCCTCAGGCTGATCAATTTCTCAGTTTGAGAAAGCCTTCACGAGCTGCAAGATTTCCGAGGTCGCGTGGTGGCTGCGGAGAGGAGAGGGGGGAGGAGTTTGAAGCGAAGGATTTATTCTTGCATCTTTCATCTTTGTGATAGGATAGTTAGTTAGTTACGCCAAGGTGTAATTTTAAAATAAAAACCTTCGGCAGGTTTGTTGAAAGGTGATTCGACCGGGGAAACAGCAGAGAAAACGTGCCACTTTGCCTTGTTGTCAGTTATTAGTTTATCATGATTCAACAATGGTAAGGCAAAGCATGATATGATGGTTGATGTGATGTGATGATATCCGTGCATCAGGCCTCATCTTCATCAGGCCTCGAGGGTGTCGGATGCATGCTTGCGGGCGGGCCCACGCATTTTCACCAGGCAGATCATTTCCGCAGTGGAACCATTAATATTAATATTATTATTTTATATTGAACCTGCATGGAACGGAACGGCCAGTCTGTTCAACGATTGGCTTGTCATATAACTAACAAGTTAGCTGATCAAACATAGGTGGTGCTTTATCCCCCATATTCTTCTTCTTACGCTGTAAGTTATTGTATTGCTGCACCGCCTCTTTTCCCTCGTGAATTGTGGGCAAAATGGCAACCTTTGAAAAGAATGTTGGTCCCGGTTCCAAATACATTGAATAAATAACCGTATGAATGCGGCCTTCATCAATCGAGCCACGGAAATTGATTGCTCGGGGGGAGGTGTTGGGATATGATATGCCAGGATCAGGAAGCAGGAAGCAGGAAGCAGGAAGCAAGGTAGGTCAGGCAAAAAGGATATGATATCGCCCCATGGCTGTTCATTCGTACAATCAGCTCCTTGGCCCCACGGACGGGTAAAAGTAGAGTAGACAAGGAGGATCGTAGGCAGGGTTCTCAAAGTGGGCGGGAGGGTTAATAATAATCATAAACCCCTGCGAAAGGAAAAAAAAAAAAAAGAAAAAAAGAAAAAAAGAAAAAAAGAGGACGATGCGATATATTATTATTATTGAAGTCAAGACAACAAACTACTTCTGGTTTGAGATTTGGATGATAAATCGTGTGTGATCTTGAAAAGAGTCGTATTTCTTGAACCTCCTTCAGCTAAACCCAGAATGGGAAGTTTGTAACTTTCAAAAACCCCTTTTTAACGCCTCCTGTCATGATTTGAGAGAAATAAGGAACTTGGATGCTTTGTTTCTCCTGCCTTTGCGTTGGTTGTTGATAGATATCGTTGAGCGGCTTGTTGGCTTCTCGCGCTTCATCCGTATTTGAAAAAAACAGGGGCGCTGCTTCGTCGTTCTACTGCGTACAAAGCCCATCTCACTCTGATCTCCGTAAATCTACCCGCTATTTCTCGCTTGGGATCGCCGGATTCGATTTTGCAGAGACAAGCCATGTTATTATTCAATACTAAGAATAATACTAATTTGAAGCCGTTGATTGTCACGTATTTTTTTAGGGTACGTACGAGGGTAAATTACACGGATGGATCATTGGAGCCCGCCAGAGGATTTGATGATGTATGATGTATGTTCCCAGCACCACCATTCGCCACCATTATTATTATTATTATTATTATTCCACCCTCATCAAATCTCAGATGCTCAAAATGAACGGTGATTGCTCGTGGCTCTCTCAAGCCGTCAAACGTGAGAGAGCCTGACAGACAGGTTGTCCAGGAAATAATACCATACATGGGGGGATTATTATTGAACATTGTGTGATCTACCAGTACCAGTACCAGTACCAGTACCAGTAGTAAGACTCCCCCAAACTCGTCCCTAAAGGACGCCAACGCTCCAGGCTGTGTTTCGGGATTGACGGGTTCATAGGCTGATGCGCTGGTTGGCCCCAAGGTTGCTACGCTACTCCGTACATAACGCAACATTCTCACCCTCGTTCTACTTCTGGCTGCGTGCCAGTCTTATTATTATTATTCTACCCTACCCTACCCTACTCTTCCCTTCCCATGGCAAGATCCGTCCAATCGCGCGCTCACTATTCGTGAACTTCCTCTCACCAAATCCACTCGGCTAGCAAGTTCCCAGGGAAATTGAGCATCCCGTCCGTTGTTGGCCGCTTATGGATCTGCGCTACGGGAGTAGCTCGAGGAGGGACACATGGATCGCCACGAACTTGTAAAATTACTTATGTTTCTCGCTTTTTTCTTTTCGTTTCTCGTTTCTCTCTCTCTCTCTCTTCTTTTTTCTTTTTTCTTTCTTTTTTTTTTTTTACTTTTTCACGTATCCATCCCATTGGGGGGCCCTCGCTAACTAAGCCACTCAGCTCACGAGAATAAAATGGGGTGCAAGAACAGAGTTCGGCCTATGCAGCGTTAGCCCAACTGCTTCTCTGGATTGCTGGGAACCAAGCCCTCGCTTCCCTCACTTCCCTCACTTCCCTCATTTTTCCCCCCGTGGCCGTCGTTTTGGCTGATGGGCGGAGATCGATCACGAATTTAGCCAGTAGCAGGAGGCGCCCAGGGCTCCACGAGTCATGTGTGTTGCATCTACGCCAGTAGCCACGAGGCAGCTTAAAGTTTCCTGAGGTTGGAACCGAACCGTACATCCCGTCTGGCGCACGCACCGAGTAAAGCCAAGGGGCGTCAGAGGTTAAACAGAACTACGGGAAGAAGAAGGGGACCCAGAACTTCGAAAAATATGCCGCTGGTTCAAAGGGGAATTGTCTCAAACAACGCAACGGGCAAAAAACAACAATGCTTTTTCTGCTCGTGCCTCCATAACCTGTGCATGCGGCAAGTATCTCATCACTACTGCATACAAGTATTATTATTAGTTACAGCTCTATTCGATTCCGGTAGGATGGTTATGAAGGAATGCAGCTGTATTCTGTATTTTATACACCGCACAAGGCATGTGCCATGGCTAGCTTCCAAATGTTGAAGTATCTTCAATAAAACGGGACTTCAATGGCTACAGTGGCTGGCTCCACGAATTATTATCCCGTGATTGATTGAAAAAAATGGACAATGAATGGTTCAACATTCGGCTGGGGACAAGTGGGCACAAAAAGTATATATCATTCCCACAAAGTTGTTGATGCTCAACGTTATTACTACGACTACTACTACTACTACTACTACTACTACTACTACTACTACTTACCGAGTAGTAGTTAGTGATTATCATTTCCGCTCTCCTTGCTCCGCTGCTACTACCGAGTGCGCCAGCAAAAGAAGAAAAAGCATCATCCCCACTAGTCCTTCACCCCCCCCCCCCCCCCCCCCCCCCCGGCTGGGTTCTGGAAGATCTTTGGGCCTAGCGTTCGTGTACCCATGTCAAGCTAAATATTTCCCTAATAATCCGTCCGCTGTGGCCTCCTGCACCAGCCTGCCTGCTTGGGTATCCCATATCAACCTGCCTGAGCCCTTTGTCCTGGACTTTTGACCCTGTTCAACTCAACTTCTTCTGCTGCTTCTTCACCATTCCGCGTCCGCCACCACATTAATGAGTTTTCGAATACACTGGTGAATTCAGGGTTTTATATAAAAAATATCTAGTCAACTTTCAGTCAACCTTCATTCATTGCCGACGTGTTGAGGACAAGATGAATCTATCCCACTTGGTGACCAGCTACCATAGTCCTCCTTCGACGTATTCTCATTCAAGCACGTCCCAGAAACGTCAAGCCTTACAGAGCGAGCCTTCCTCGTTATCTGTATCCAATGGATACTACGATCGCAATGCTTCAAATCTTGCATATGCCCGCTCTCCGCAACCGCCGTTATCCCCACCTGTCGAGGACCAGGCCAGATTCTCTCTTCCTTCAATATCGAGCTTATTGCAAGGGGCGGACCAACTCGCTCCTGTTCACGTAGCTAGTAAGAAAGAAAGCTCCATTGGAGTCCTCATTTAAATATACGTACTAACACTCGGTGATAGAAAAACATCGCCCCAATCCACTGTCATCTGGAGAGGTAGACCTGAAGTCTCAAGGCCAGGGAGCCTCCCAAAAGCCAATAAGCAGGCCCAGGATGATTTTACCACCGACCCCTCCCTTACGGCCAGGCTCTGGATTAGATGGAAGCAAACACTCTCCGTCTGGCTCGTCACCATCGTCCGCAAACTCGCCCGTTGCAGTAGCAAACCTCACAAGTGCGTCATCTACGGACTCTTCCTACCAGCCCGGGATGTCCCAAGTTCCATTCCCACCACAATCAGCCAGGTCGTCCGTATCCCAGAGTTCTCCCATCTCCCTTACCGATAAGCATTACACAGCGTCCTCAAGTCTACCCGCAATCTCAACACCATTTGCTTCTCCAGTTGAACCTCCAACCACCTCTACAGAGTACTATCCTCGCCCAACTCATGCCCCTTCGTTCTCCCCACCTATTCCTCTGACATCCCCGTCAGCCCACCAGCACCATCACCATTCCATGGTCTCAACCTGGCAGCACCACCACTACTTCCCACCCTCAAACACGGCTCCCTACCCACAAAATCATGACAGGTACATCTGTCGAACATGTCACAAAGCCTTTTCTCGGCCTTCCAGTCTGCGTATTCACTCACACAGCCATACGGGCGAGAAGCCATTCAAATGCCCGCATGTCAACTGTGGCAAATCGTTCAGTGTCAGGAGTAATATGAAACGACACGAACGTGGTTGTCATACTGGGAGACCTACGCAAGCAGCTCTGGTGAGTTGAGAAGATCGGAGAACAGCCTAAATTCAGTTTCTGGCAAAACTACCTCACAAAACGAGTTCGAATATTGGGCATGATGAATGCCAGGAGGACGAATATTCCCACTATTGTTCTTGAAAATAGAGATACACCGTCAGGACCGTTGGTGTCCCTTATTTCTCTCCCCTGTTTGTCATCTTTACTTTGAAACCGAATCTGGAAAAATCAGGTTCTTAATAATGTGAAAATGAAACCACCTCTTCCGCGAAATCGAAATCCTGCCGGTTTATATGGTCCACGAAGCCCCCTTTGGCCTGCATACCCGCCCATATGCAGGAGCAAAAAAGCGAAAATGATGCAAGAGCCAAAACGAAACCTTCGGCGAAAATGATAAACTTCCAAATGTTATAGTGAAATGGCGCAGCTATGAGAATCAGATATACTTGGCACAGTGCATCCGAATATCTCCCAAAAAGGATATGCGATATCCACTTGACTGCTTCCACGCTCTTCGAATGTCTTAAAGGGCACTAGGCCCGACAAGTTTGGGACAATTAAGACCTTGATTGGTGTTAAACAGCAGAAGGGAATTATGGAACATATTGCTACGCCGGAATAAAAGGAGCGGAGGAGGAGGAAGAAAAATATGAACAGAAAAACAAGTATAGACCTAGGGACTTTTAAGGGGATGGCATGGACTGATAGAGGAGAAATAGAATCCGAAAAGAGCCAGACACTTATCTCACTTAGCTACTTCTGGACCAAGTCACGAAAGCCGACTTGTGTATTGATTGAATAGCCATTTTCACGCATTCGATGTATTACTATGATTGCTAATTTTTTTTTTTTTTTTGTTGGTTGTAATCTTTTCCCCGCCAGCTTTCACTTCTATTATGTATTTACATTTTTTGGATCCAGTATATGTATGTATATATATATATCTATGTTAGATGAACCTCTGTTAGGAAGAAGAGGGGTATATGAGAGAATGCTCAGCGCTGAGCCCCTAGTACGCTGACTTCTTGGACACTACTGTACATGCATGCAGCATGCGATTTACTGTACAATTCTTCCACATATTCATTGAGGCCTATTGGTACTTGAGAAAGAAAAAGGAAATCAGTTTAAGATGGGCAGGCATAAGAGGAAGAGAACGGGGCAATCAATAGTGGCCGATAAGTGGCTAGTGTATGTACATGTACATATATACCCGCCCGTATACATATCTTATGGGAGGAAGAATAAACCCATAAATTGAATTATCCAGTCTCATTTATTTGCACGAAATAGCAACGCCAAATACAGAGAAATATGTTTTAATAATGGCTGAAAGGTAAAATTTCCCTTCCAGCGAAGCAGAAATAAAAAAAAAAATGAAAAATAAAAAATAAAAATAAAAAAGACTAAACAAGATATTGACGCATTTGAGAATGATGGATCTTGTCTAATATCTATAATCTCGGTACTAATGGCAAGCCGACCTATGCCTCCAAACCAAGCTTCTCCAAAAGACGATCCAATTTATCCAGTAAAATTTGGTAGTCCGCGTTGTCCCTCGCAAACTCATCCCCTGCAACATGTCCATCTAGAGTTCTGAAAACTGCACCATTAGAAGGGAAGCCATTTACTGGCTGGGATTTGTGATTGCTGACATCAGTGGCTTCGTCTTCTGCAGAGTCACGCTCCGATTCGGAGCCACGATTGGGAATATCAGCTGTCAGGTTATCATTTGAAATATCATTATCCACTTTGACGCCGTCGACAGCCTCGCCGCTGCTGCCGTCGCCAACTTGTGTCACTTTGGGGTTTTCGTCCATCATGATTTCGTCCAGGCCCGAATCTTCGAACCGCAGCCTGAATCTCTCGCTAAGGTAGAATCGAATATCATCCACGAGTTCGATAGAATCTGTTTCCTGCCTCTGGGAGATACGGGTCGCTGATTCGGCAACTAGTTCTGCAAACTCTGGTAGATCAATGTGCGACTCGAGGCGGTAAGCAAGATACCGGGCCGCGAATTCCTCGAGACGCTGAACTCGAAACATCCATCCTGCTCGAATGACTTCGTAAATATCTAATTCCTCCTCATCGTCATCTTGTTGCGTCTCTTTTGGGGTAGCATCTGTCTCTTTGGCGACTTTTTCGTCCTCCCTCCTTGCCTGTTGTTGCTTCATGTTACCATTACCGAGGGAGCTAATCAACACTGCTGCTTTGGACTTAAGCCTTTCAATACAAAGCAAATCTGCAGCACAAAGCACCTCAACACCCAGTGATAATGGGAATTCAACTCTGTCGGTATATAAATAGGTGAGGACAACTTCCAATGTTTCGGGTGAACAGTCCACAGGTATTATTTGTAAATGCTCCGTTATCTGGGCTTCTTTAAATGTGGAAGAAAACATCGCATTGAAGAAATCAGAGCGCAGCAGCATCGCTCTATGGACGGGGAAGAGGATTGACTTGCGAGGCTTTTGCGACGGCGGCCACGAGGTAGGAGACGATGGCCGTGACGTTGGGCCCACTGGAATACGGTTCGTGGCTTCGAGGTTCCCGGGATTTAGCTCGTGCGTACCATCGTTTGTTCGCGGCATGTTGTCTTCGGCCACGGGTTCATCCACACGAAGTAAGACATCAGCAAATATCCCATTGTCCCTTGGCCATTTCACTTTATTGGCCTTGTCGGTTTCGACAACGAGTTTATGCTGGAGGACATTCTCTCGAAACCATGATTCCATCTGGTCACGGCCCCTTGAAGTTTCCTCTGCCCTTCGTTGCCTGGTCAGCCTTCTATCTCCACTGTCAAGAATTGTCTCTACTAGACCCGGGAGCTGCAGGTGTTTGGCAACCCTTTCGATACCAGCCAAAATTTCTGCTTCGGTGTAGTCAGTTCCCGGTCCGAATCTTAGCTCCCGCGGTGCTTCCCCTAGGTACAAATACCTTACGCCTACGTTGAATGCTTCAGGGGGAATTGAGCTTGGAAGTTTCCACGATTTTACCATGGGGGCAAATGACAACTTATTAGAAAAGGACGGGGAGCGCGCAGATAGAATGAATTTGTGTAATCGAAATGATTCGTCCAATGCTGTGACTGCAATATCCGCAGTTTGAGGGTGGTCTCGTGATAACAAGGAGGCCAGATGAGCAGCAAACGGCTGCAAGGGATCCGTGGATTTCGAATAATCATATTGAAGAAGCAAATTTCGTATTCTATCGTTCAGAGCATTATATAGACATCTAAAAGAAAAATGAATGTTAGCAGAAAATATCCAACATATTAGCGAATGAAAGTGAGTGGAGGAGAGCACCTTTCGCCTTGAAAAGTATCACGCTCACACAATGCCCCCGAGTCAAGGAGAAGTCGTACCACTTCATAATGGCCGCAAAGGCTCGCCTTTTTACGCACAGTCACTTTCTAAAGTACCACAATGGTTTACGGCAGGAAATAAAGCCGACCGGGGCTGCCGCAACGATGGACAAGGAGGATAGGCAAATCATGGAAAAGGGCCAGTGCTTACAAGAATCAGTGGCGTGCAATCAAATAAATCTCTTGCATTGATATTAACGCCCTCAGTAATCTTCTCCTGGCAGACTTTCAGGTCGCCTCGTCGACATGCTTCGCAAAGTTCCCGAAATGGCTGGCTTTGGTCAAGGGGGTTGTCATCCTTGAGCCTGCCATCCTTGATCAGTTTCCTTTCATTCTGTAGGGTTGTCTGTAGCTGATATTTGGGCAGCGTAGCTGTTTTGGGCATATCTGACAGGTCAGTATAAAGCACTAATATCAAGTGCAGCACAGCAGAGAAGACTATGAATTCCAAGTTGACGTCGATGGCGACACTACAAAGTGTTCTCTATAAAAAAGGGGGACACGTGACTGCGGTACTTACCTAGGTAGTCGGAGCACCAGCACCCCCCCCTTGCTACGGCGTTCTCAACCGGCAACCCGCTAGCTGCCAATTCCTTCAAAAAGGCAATAATAATAGATTACAGGATTCAGACTCTAGTTCCCTCATTAGGAATAGACGCCTGCAAGGCAATAACTGTAAAAATCAAAAGGGTGTGGGCTAAATCCATCAACCTGCTGTAATACCAGTACCAAACCTTTCGATCCTTCTTGCCCATATCCATATCCTTCATCGAAAATCCTCATGACGAATTCTTCAAAAGCAGGCCTGCCAATGGCCTGGTGAGGCCATCTGCTATATTGGCCATGGAACCTACATGTTCTAACGTGATTTCACCCTTATCAACCAGTTCGCGGAGGATGTGATATCTCAATGTGGCGCGATCTTCACATCAAGGATTTCTCCTTTCACAAGATCAATTGATCCCTTATTGTCAATCCGCATCAGGAAGCATATCTTACCTTTTCCATCGACCAACTCAGCGTCATATAACATATCATTCGACCAGATTAGCTCACAGGCAGCCTTCGCTAGCTGTAATATATTCAGCCCCCATGGATAACTTGGTGATTGAGGTCAATATCGGCGACCCATTAATCGTAATGACATAGCCCATAGTTGATGTGTATTGGGCGTCTGCCCCTGCCCCTACCCAATCAGAATCAAGACCAAATACGGCAGCAATCCCAAATCCTTGATGATATCTCTTAGTTGTAAAATCATCCTAGGCCACCCCCTTCATCGGGGGTGAATTCAAGGCGTATGCCGGCCGCCATCAGGGTGCTGAGTGGGTTGACTCTTTCCATTTCGAAGTCTTCTAGGATCTCCTCAATATAGCGGGTTTGGGTAACAGCCAGACCACCATTAGTTACCCTGGGATTTGACTTGCATTCCAAGGTAGGGAGTGGCTTTTGCTGTTTGAGAAACGAACAACTAATAAGCGATGCCTTTTCTCCTTGATAAACGAATAACCTCTGCATGCCTGTGCCCCTAGTCTCTCGTCACCTCATATAGAAGTCTTGTTTTTTTAACAATTAAGCTTGACGTTTACCAGGCTTGTTCGTCGAACAATGTTGTAGTTTAACCAAGCCAATTAACGCCATGTGATTTCCCAACAAAACTTTTTAATTGCTCTAAATAAACAAAACCAGGAATTACTTACTTATACTATCTTCTTGAGATTGTAGTTCTGTAAATTTATATAATTGAATTTAGAAGTTAACTTAGAATAGGATGTATACACTGTACAGAACGTAGCTTTTCTCTCTCTCTCTCTCTCTTAGAAGTGGGCAGTATCCACACCGCCTGCCAGAAACAGCTAATTATGTACATCGGCACTGGTTGCTTAGCAACAACCACCAAACGAAACAGTCCGAAGAGTGAACGAGCTTCGGTGATGGGATATCGATCAGTGACTTTTTGAACTTCCCTCTGCTCTGCAAACATCACCACTCGTCGTTGTGAGGAATATACTAACATTGCAGGTACTTCAATTCAAATAAACTTTGTCCATGTATTAATTTCCTGTCTGTTTCTTTTTTTCTGTTTTAGTTTCTTTATTACATTCTTCCTAGCGAACCATGGCGATTGCGCTGGCCGAAGTGGACAAGTATGATGTACTAGAAAGGATAGGTAAAAAAAAGTTCCCGTATTTTGCCGTGAAGTCTGCAATATGGCATGGCTAATGGTCTATAGGATGCGGCTCATTTGGGGTCATCCGCAAAGTTAGGCGCAAGGCCGATGGCTACGTATGGACGCCGGGACTTGCAGTATCCATATTACTTCGTCAAAGCAGCTAACAGACGTTACCAGATCCTTTGCCGCAAGGAAATTAACTATGTCAAAATGTCGCAAAAGGAGCGCGAGCAGCTTACGACCGAGTTCAATATCCTCAGTTCTCTTCGACACCCCAATATTGTCGCATACTATCACAGAGAGCATCTGAAGGCTTCCCAGGACCTTTACCTCTACATGGAGTACTGTGGTGGTGGAGACCTTGGAATGGTTATCAAGAACTTGAAGGCGACGGGTAAATATGCAGAAGAGGAGTTCGTTTGGCGGATATTTTCTCAGCTTGTTACCGCGTTGTATCGGTGTCACTACGGCGTGGACCCGCCGGAAGCTGGATCCAATGTGCTGGGGCCACCACCGAATAATAAACCTTCCGGCTTGAAAGGAAAACAGGCGCAGATGATGATCCTACATCGCGATCTGAAACCGGAAAATAGTATGTAAAAGGACAAAACTCTGTATCCCCGTTTGGGCGTGGCTAACCAGTGATGACAGTTTTCCTCGGGGCGGATCAGTCTGTCAAGTTGGGCGATTTTGGGCTATCGAAACAAATGAGATCCCACGATTTCGCTTCAACCTACGTTGGCACTCCCTTTTATATGTCCCCAGAAATATGTGCTGCCGAAAAATATACTCTCCACTCTGATATCTGGGCGGTCGGTTGCATCATGTATGAACTATGCCAGAAGGAGCCTCCTTTCAATGCCCGGACTCATATCCAACTCATCCAGAAAATTCGCGAGGGGAAATTTGCGCCTCTACCGGATATGTACTCTTCTGAGCTCAAAAGCGTGGTTGCGAGTTGCCTAAGAGTCAACCCGGACCACCGGCCGGACACCGCTGCCCTGCTAAACATGCCAGTAATTCGCCTCATGCGGAAGGAAAAAGAAGTCGTGGACTTGGGTATCTCATTGCGTAAACGGGAGGAAAGTGTATCGCAGCGGTTGAAGGAAGTCGAACTTAACTACGCACGTCTAGAGAAGGAGAAAGCAACTATGAAAATGGAGATCGAAAATAAGGTTCGCCGCGAGTGGGAAGTGAAAGCGAGGCTCGAGATTGATCGACAGGTTCAAATGGAGCTCGAGAGGCTTCGGAAACGATTTGACATGGAGGTCCAAGAAAGAGTTGCTACAGAGCTGCAGAAGCACAGAAAGAGTGCCTCCCCAGCCATTGATGAAGGTGAAACTACGTCGTCTGCGGAGCACTCTTGTCAGTCATCTATTGGAACCGGGACTGCAGACGATGACTTCCCTTCCTCCACGGATCTCAGTGAGCTGTCAATTGACTCCCCAACATCTGAGAGCAGTAAACCACTGAAGAAAGCTGGCCGGACGCCATTCAGCCGCTCAAAAACTACCTTCGAGTCCCCCCATGATATACAAATGGCTGAACCGTCTCCAATGTCTATAGCTTCATTGTCCCTTTCCCCGCGCCGCACTACAGGAAATGGGAACTCCAGAAATATATTTGCGGAAGGTGCAAGGTCAAATCCCAAATTGGAACCATGTTTAGCATATAACTCGGATGACGAAGACGATATTCCCGATGTGCCTTCTCCCACGCGGCCGAGAGTGAGGCCGGACCCAATAAAGGCCCCTGTAAGGCCCTTGCTCCGGCAAAATACAACTGCCATGATGCAGAAACTGAGCACGCAACCTAGCCTGTTCCCCTCTAAAGGTTCGGGTCTACCCCACCTTACCACTACTGTATCACACAACGATCTTAGACACGCTGCTGCTTCAGAGGCAAAAGTGAAATCCCCCCGTCGCCTAACGAAGATCCCCTCATCCGCAAATCTTGCTGGAGAGGGCGGATCTCCCCGCAGGGCAGGGAGCAAACCGCCGACCTTCAAAGGAAACGCTGGCGGCGAGGAGATGTTCAAAGCCGTTCTGCAGCGGAACATGGGCGGTCGGACACTTGTCGAGCTTGCCCAGGCCAGAGCAGGTGGCAGGCCAGTTGAAGACACGAAGCGAAATTCTAGCGAGTCCAGGATTCCGACAACGGGATTTTCTCCTCATACACATGTTTTTGACGCCATGAAGACCGCTGAAAGAGACCCTCCAGCAACATGGGATCCGGAGCGAGATGAGATGCCCAGCCCATTTTTGGCTAGGGGGGCCAAAGTTATTCGAAACCTTAGATAGGAATTCGGTGTTATATCCGTGTTTGAGCGTCGCATCATAATCGTCATTTGTAGGGTCCGCAGTTGGTGTCTATGCGGCGTTATCCTTTGTGTCCAAAGCTTGTTATTACATGTCAGGGGAGCAGTGTGCTTTGGTATTTTGGAGAGGCGTGTCTCGCCGCCTGCACGACGAGCCGTCTCGAATTCTTTCCTTCACCATATTTCCTTTGTCAGGAGGCCATGTCTACATGAGTTTGTTTTTTAGGTGCCTGGCGTTTCCCTGGTCGGATTTCTCCTTGTTTACCTTTTCCTCGCTCTTTTTCTCTCCTTCTCCCTCTCTCTTTTTCTCTCGAGACGGCGCAAGGAGTTTTTATCAGCTGGCTGCATTCCACGGCGTTGGAAGTGCCTTTCGCAATTTAGCCACCGCTGTTCGGTAGCTTATCAGGGTTCTCAGGGGAAGCTACCTGTTTGCAATGCGATAGGCCCCGGAAACGGCCTTTATTTACCCCTTTATTACCGATGCTATTGCATGTTATCTTAAAACGGCGTCGCTTTTTCGTACCTCAGAGCCGTCTGGAAAAATACTTGTTGTTTACCCTCAGTTCCCCCCCTACTCATTCCTATTTGATTTTATTCTATACTTGCACCACATAACTGGCATGGCGAGGCTGTTTACTACTTAGCTTTTACTTTTCTTTTTCTAGGTTTCCCTATTTTTTTTAAATGTATAGCGCTTTTTCATTTCATTCCATTTCGCTTTTCTTCTTTCTTCATTCCCATTTTATCAAAATAACTATGATATCTAGTCCTTTTATACACTGTGTGCACCTTTTCCTTCCCTACCCTTTCGTTCCTCGCTTTCAGAGTCATTTTCTCGTTTTCCCTGATTGGTAGCAATCGATTATCTTCTCTCATCGCTCAGTCCTCTTATTCACACCTTACTTTCCATTACGGATGTACTAAACCCTTTTTACCCATTGTCATTTGTCCTTGGGCTCATGACTTTTGACTCATACCTGACTGACTGACTATCTTTGCCTACCTCACCTTAATGTTAGGGGTATGCCATACAATGTCCGCGGGTTCAAACCAAACGCCGATTGACTGGAAGCGGTGGAAGACTCTGTCTGGCTTTTTTTGTTTGCTACATAGCTTTCCATTTATTTATTTTTTGTCTCGAGTGGAAAATAAAATTATCTGGCAGCGCAGCGTGGTCCATACTGATGTGATCGGTGCAGACCTCCCTCACCAAAACTTGGTATAGGTACGGCACGACGTGGAGAAGAGAGAGGTTACCCTTAGCATTGTACAGATAGCCCTCCACTCCAAGGAATAAAAAAAAAAAAAAAAAAGAAAAAAAAAAAAAAAAAAAACACATCGGCTGATATAACCAAACTGCCGTACACTACACTCGTGTTGAAATACCTGTTGAAATACGCGTTGGACATCCACCCATCCCGCATGCCATTGCCGGCGCAACTAGTACCTTCATATAAACCCCCAAGCGAAACTCAGTTAACGGCATGCATGCGGGCAACGGAAACTCAACCTCAAGCGGAAGAAGGTTTTTTTTTTTTTTTTTTTTTTTTTTTTTTTTTTTTTTTTTGCCAATCCAAGGGAGCTCGCTGACTCCCCCGTTCGCTCGCAAACTAGCGTTCCAGAGCGGAGAAAACGCAGCCTGCTCCTGATTCGGAATGGGGGAGGGGGCGCCGCGACTCGGGATCGGGATGTGGAAACGGTTGTAACCCTCACTGGCCACTGATTGCACCTTGTGAAAAATAATGCTTACGATAAGTGAGTGTGAGTGTTTTGTTGGCTAGGTTATCAATAGCACTTATCACTTATGACACAATCCATATAGCTTTGTGTAGTTAGTTATACATGCATTCCCCGACTCAGCGGGTTCCCAAAGTAGTACCAACAACGCCCAACCCAACCAAATTCTTTCAAAAAACAATGCACGCGAATAGAATCACTCCGTCCGCAACCGCAACCGCCATTGCCTCAGCTGTGAGCACACCACACCGGCTGTACGCTTCTGGGTAGTGTAGTGCTGCCGCCACCCATTTCGCCCCTGCATATATATCTGCTGTAATTATGCGTAACTGGGGTCGTCGTGGAGATGAGGAGGTCCATGTTGATTCGCGGGATGGGAGGTGGGTTCGCCGGCATTAAGATGAGATGAGGATGCAAGGTGAGACATGGATGATTTCGGTTTGAAGGACATGGAGAAGGAGATATTGGGAGGGAGGGTGGTCGGGTTTGGTGGTGTCAGGTGGTTCGCGGTTGTGTTTTCTGCTTTGCAATCATTTTCTCTGAATAAACAGATGGGTGATAAGCAGTAATAAAATACACCGGTATAAAAGATTTAAAAAAAGCAGTTCCGTGAAACATTTTGTGTATGCCATAATCCTAAAACGTCCCTGTATATGACGCCAGAAATCCCAAGACATTGTGCGAATAATCGACAGCAACCCCGATCCGTAAAGATACATGAAAAAAATGGAAATGGAAAATGGAAAAATAAAAAATAATAGAACTCCCATGTAGAGCGCTCCGTTAGATATCTTCGTCCTCAACGTCCTCTATCTGCACCGTTCTCGTCTTCGACGTATTAACTTCCGTAGGGGGTGTAGCATTCGGTGCAGGAGAGCCAGTTCCCGGTCCAGTTCCAGTGGCAGCTCCAGATTCGACAGGCGAAGGCTGGAACGCTTGAGAAGAAGCACCTGGTATGTAACCTTCTCTCTCAAGTCGATCCATTTCCTCAGGCTCCAACAACCTGCCGGGTTGGCCCTTGGCGGCCTCCTGTTTCATGCGCACAACGGTCGGGACGAACTTGCTCACAGCTTCCTTCCGCAGGTCTTTGATCACGGGGGCCGCTTCGTAGACTGTTTTCGGCTCAGGTTTGGGTTGTGCCGCAGGTGGGTGAGAAACGGGAACAGTGGTGGTGGTGGTGGTGGCTTGCGCTTCGCCGGGCCCTCTACCTTCACCAAGGGGTTCCATGTTTGCATTGGTTGCGCGGCGGGGTGCATGATGCTGGCGCGGGATGGGTGGAGGGGTGTCCTTTGGCATGGGGATCCGTCGAACGCTCTCGTCTGTATCGCTGCTGCCCTCGCCATCGTCATTATCACGTCGCCGCCACCGGTTGTTTTCCTGGCCATCCCGCCTTCTCTTCCCCAGAACCCCTCCGCGACCACCACCATCACTGCGACCCCCTCGATCAGAATGAGAATGCGTTCCCTGTCTAGCCTCACCCCCACCAAATGTCGGAGCCTTGTCACCAAGGGCCTCTCTAGCCTTCTTGACAGCGCGGAGATCCCTCTCGAGCTCTTCAAGATGTTGCTTCTCGGACGGTTTCAGTGGCTGCCCCGACTCCTCGACGGCCTTGAGATTGTCGATTTGGCGCTGGAGCCGGTCTGGGTTGCGACGCGCGAGCTTTTCATTCCGACGAGCTTGGACCTCAGCTTTACCCTTTTTCAAGGCTTTGGCCTTCTCCAGCCGCCGTTGGGCTAGGGCGGGGTTGATGGAGCGTTCCTTATCCTTTGCCATCGAGAAAGCGACGACTTTAGAAACGCGAAATCGAGTGGCAAGGGCGCGAGGGTGGAGAGAAGGCGAGAATTAGAAAAATAACAAAGCAATAAAAAAGGTTAAGTAGCGTGAATTATCAGAGGACGGTGGTGTCTGTGGAGAAAAGCGCTGTAGAGGTTGGTTGGTTGGCTGGTTGGGGAGCTGGAACGAAGTTTGAGGTTTGTTCCGGTGTTGTCTGCGGTTAAATATTTAGAGTGATTTGAGCAAATGCGGTAAGTTAGTTAACTAAGTTAGTTACCAGCACCCAAACCCACGGGGGAAGCAGCTTGGGGAAGCTTGCAGCTAGTCCAACGGCTCCAGTCCAACCAACTTATTGTACAGTACATTCCATGTACTCCGTACAGCTTACAGAAACGATGAACAGCAACCCATGCAGGTGTTGCATAAACGGAAACTTGTTCCAAGGGCCAATCGAATGCGCCCTGAAGCTCTGTTCCCGCCTGAGCCTCACAGGTTGGGCAGCCGAAAGCCCTACGCCGCACACCCTGCAGTAGGCACAAGGAGGGCAAGGGAATGGAAAAAAAGAAGGCGTTGCAGCCACTACTGATCTAGATCACCTTTTTTTTTTCGTTTTCACATCTTCTCTCCTACTACTCCGTAGTTTCGGATTCTTTGGATGTTTTACGATGGCGGGACCGTGGGGGCAGGATATCCGAGGAATGGAGCAACCCACCGATGGCCAATGGCCGCAGTGAAGCCCTGCCCGTCAGATGGAATGGACATGGAGGTTCTTAATAATTGAGGCCTGGCCGCCGTCTGTGCCCAGCGACAAGTTGACGATAACGGCAAAGCTTGCAAAAAAAAAAAAAAAAAAAAAAAAAAAAAAAAACAATCTTTGGGAGGGCGAGATGCGCGTGTGACTTGTAGAGGTAGTAGGCTAGACTGTGATAGCGGACGAGGATGTGCGGGAGATGCGGGAGATGCGGGAGATGCCATATCCGGTTCACACGGCGACCAGCTGCTAGTTATTATTATTATTATTTCCATGCGGCGTGTGTGGGATGGATGCCAATTGACCGGCTGATAACGGCGCTGGAAGAGGGGATTTGATTGCTTTAGTTATATCCAGGATAGTTATTTACTCCGGGGCTTGGGGAAATACCATAGCTTCAGCATTCCTCCGATGTCCCTCTTTTCTCTTCTGGCAGATCAAGGAGGGAAATGGAGATATATTTCTTTTTCTAGCTCCATCCAATCCAGACGGACGTTTGACTTGTTTTGTCGAAACTTGACGGATGTATTGGAGCAGGCGATGGAGCATTTTTTGGCCTGGCTACATAGTGTATGTAGCTGTTTCTGTGAGGGCCCCGTCACATGTTTTCTTTTTTGAACCTACAAGTAGAATAAGTATCATAATAATATTAGTTAAAATAAATGCAAATTCAGCAAATTCAAATAATAATGGATAAATTGAATACAGGGATTGATAAATATCCGGCGTTGGTTGGAAGTTGTTGTGTTTCCTTTGCCTGGGGGTAAAAAGGTCACCAGCTCAACTGCCAACCCTCGAAACCCCAAACCCCAGACCTCATTCTCATCTTCATCTATCTCCATCTCCATCTCCATCTCTTGAGATCCTCCTGGTCCTCCTTCTTCCCATCGCCAAAATATATATCCTATCTCCTTCCCTTCGCCAACCTTGTCATTGCTTTCCCTCTCCTCCCCGTCTCATACTGCGCCTTCGCCACGGCTTCAGCCTCCGCCGAGCTAAAATCCCGGTGTGGCTGCGATCCTGCTCGTCATCCGCAGAATTACCCGTTCTGCGACTTCTCGCGGATCTAGCCATATGCCACTATTGATGCTTAGTGCGGAATAACGCCTGTCTGGGTGAATTCAGGAGATCATCTAGTTATACTTAAAATACAACAGACCTCGCTTTCCCTCCTCCCCCCTCTTCCGGGTTCCCTTTATCCAAAACAGTTCATCCCGCATTTGTTCTCCAACATGAACTACCACCAATCCGCCCGCCCCATCCCCTCCCGTGCGTTCGACGACTTTCTGTTTTAAGAGCATGTCTTTGCGCACACACCAGCCAAATACCAGATGTCCGCGTCAACGTCCATTCCTGATGCCCGGTTCGGCCTCACCTCCGCCGAGATGCAGATGGCGGTGCACCAGCAGCAGATCGCCCTCCAGGGGAGCCGCGCTGGCAGCCTTGTGTCCCGGGGGAGAGGCATGGGGAGGAATAGCAATTCGAGCTCGCGGGCTACCAGTGCCGCCAGCGCTGCCAGTAGTCATGGCAGACTGCTGCTCGACCCGGATAGCTTGCAAGCGCTCTATTATCAACTCGAGAATCTGTTGAGGGATATACGGCGAAGAATAGATTATGTAGGTTGCCATCCGCCGCCGTTGGTTCTTTTGCAATTTTATATCTAGATTCTAGATTGCTTCTATCGCTTTTTGCGCTTCTAGAGCCCAATACGTTCCTCAAGCCGCTTTGTGACTGATTAGTTGTTTATCTTTTGTCGGGCCTTTTAAAGAGCTGGCGCTAATAATATCATCCCCTATATAGTTGACTGAACAATCTGAACTATCAATCCAAAATACCTATGACGAAGCGGGCAATGTCGTTGCGAATGCAGATATCGAGATTGCGCGAATGCACCAAATATTACAAAACATCGATGAATTGGAAACTGAATTCGACAAGATCCGACGCATCAGGGACATCGTCAAGCAATACAGATCTAGAGTGGAGAGTCTAGACCACCGGTTGGACCAGGCCGCCCGCAGAAGACGCTGATATGACATTCCTCCTCCTTGTTTATTCTCTCATCTACCTGTTTATATTCCTTTTCACGTGGTAGTGAGGGGAAATGTGAAATTAAATCCCGTAATGAAAAGCTCAGCGAGACGGAATGAGCCCACGTTTACGATGCCACGAGAGAACGCTTTTCCAATTTTCCCCTTTCCGTTTTTACATATGCAGCGATATTCCTCTGTTACGAAAACCGCGATCCCGGCCCAATTCGTCACCTCGACTGCTGGGTGGTCCTGCTCTCTGACACAACCCGTTAATGTTGCTACCGCAGCCTCGAAAACAAAATAAATGACACATATCCCACGTGCTCAGCGTAAACAAAAAGAATCAGGATATCGGATATTCAAATTTCGCCGATATTTAGTCCTCGCGGACAATCATCTTTCCTCCACGTTGCTTACAACGCGCAGACATGGGTACGGAAATCAAAAGCCACCCGCATTGATGTAGAGTACGCCACCCGCTCCGAGCCAGTGTGGAAAGAATTATAACCCCTTATTATATTCCCGTAAGATCCGCAAATTCCACTTCCGCAATGTTTGCTGGATCGGGAAGAGGTGGAACTTAATTAACCCTGTACACCTTCTATTTTTCTGTTTTGCAACTTTCTATCTACTTTCTGTCTTGGATACAAAATCTTCTAAGAATGGTTACATGCCTCACGGCCGAAACTTTTGATTTTCGTTCTTTTTTTTCACTTTGATTGGTTTTTACTTATTGGATCCCTACCTGCCTAGGTAAATATTGGAGAAACGGAAGCCTGGTTGGCTGGGGGGGGTGGAAGAAACAAAAAAGATGAGACTGAACCTGAATCTGATACCATTTCATGCCTTCCCCCTTCCCCTAGCTTCCTGCGCCATTTGCCCTGTTCTCTCTATCCTGCTTAACCCCGCTTCGTCAGCGGATGTTGGTATTTTTTATGGCCTTCTTTAAGCGTATTTTGCTTACTACCTACACTACGCTCCTGCATCCCCTACCCTACCTCCTATTATATAATATTATATATTGGTAAATATCCGTATGTATTATTTCTCTTCCTCTTTCTTTCTTTTTTTCTTCTTTTGTTCCCTCCTTACGTCCAGCCTTTCAAGCGGTACCAGGTTCTTCGTTTTTATCCAAGTCTTAGGATTTCCATAACAGCCAGTTTTGTTTCAAGATTTTGTTTCAATATCCGACGCGAATATTATTGATTTTATTTGCCCTTCGGCCCTTTTTTCTTTGTCGATTGATCACACGTATGTCAAGACCCTTTCTTTTTTTGTTGTAGTTCCTCGCCACCCCACACCGTTTGTCATGTCCTCTTAGCCTTCTTATTATGTGCGTAGGTATTCTTATAAGCTCGATATTTTTTCTAGTGATTACGTATATAGCTAGCTGCCCCTATACCGCCCCTTTTTCTTTTCTTTTCTTTTCTTTTCTTTTCTTTTTTTTTGGTTTTTATCTTCTGTTTTCGAACCTATCGGATAGACTAGCTCACTGCATGGCCAGTTATTGCTCACATTGGTGAATTACTAGAAATAGCCAATATGAATTCCACCCTTCTAGACCTAAGAATCTATATACATGTACATATACTGTACTATTATGCATAGGAACGGTCAAGGGAAACTTAGAGAATCTCCCCTCGGTCTTACATGTGTGCTTGAGGGCCATGTCCAGGCAACACGGCGCAAAGCGAATATGACCTGGGAGACAACATCATGGAGCGCTATGGTTATTTGTTTAATCGCTACTAGATAACTAGCTATTTTCGCTCTCTCTCCCTCTCTCCCTCTCTGACATCCCATTTTTTCTCCTATAATACGTTGCGTTTTGCATCGTACATATGTAAACACCAAACTGCCTGTCAGGGAGCATCAATGGATCTTTCCCATCAAGCTTGTTTCCGCGATGCGCTGTCCTGACTACCTACTTCCGTATTTCGGAGTGGGACGTGGATCGTGTAGCCTCATACCGAGAGGTTGTTCGTAAGTTTTGGCGGTGACCCGCGAATCCCTCCCCCGTGCGTGGCTCACTGCAGCATCCAGCATGATGTAACCGTTTCCAGAATCTAGATATTAAGTTTGAAGGATCTAATTGGATCAAATATTCTCCGAGCATCCTTAGCTGGCCGCGGATGCATGACTGTTATGAGTTCAGCCGCCGAGGCGTAGTCGTATTGGCACGGGATTTTTGCCCGTCTAGTATGCCGTCTCATTCCCGTCCTTCGACGGAGTGTTCTTTTCAAAGTTATCCAAGGCCTCCAATGAAACTTCAACGGGCAACATGAACAGCGGGTAACTGTGCCGTGGTCGGTTGCGACGTCACGGTCCGGCCATCATCCCCCACCTCTTTCAACCGCTTGCGCTCCGCAAGCTTCAAGCTTCTCTTCTCTGTCTGCGGGTATCGCTTTGTATAGCCACAACTATTACAGCGAACCACGCGGACGTCAGCCCACGGCTTTTTCTCCGACCCGCCACGGCTGGCATTCTCCACCGTTTCCACACAGGTCGAGTTGGGGATCAGTAGCGAGTCACAGCATTTGCAGATTGATCGTTTGATGTCGCGGGACAGTCGCAGCTGCGACTTGAGTGATACCCCGCGCAGCTGGGAAGCCAGCTGGCGAGAGAGCTTTGAGACTGGAACATGTTGTGTGGGCTGTGGGTGTGGCTGTTTCGACTCCCCGGTGGCATCTGTAGTTGAGGTTTTGTCGTTGGGAACAGTTTCACTACCTTGTGCCTGTTCCTGGGTAGGAGATCCATGGTTTGAACCTTGGATGGTCCGATTGGTGATGCATTTGGCGGAAAGATTTGATACAGAGGCGGACTGTAAATACGTCGACGCTCTGTATAAGAACGCAACCCGAACTCGAATATGATTCTGACCTGCTCCCCCGCCCCTTTGAGTCTTGGCTTTTGCCATATTAGTATCCTTGGTTCCTGGATATGTTTTGAGCATCGGGGGCCGAAGGTTTGCTTCGCTTTTGGGGTTGGCTGCTTGAAGAGCCGAGTTATGACTTCCAGTCAAATTACACTAGTCCTAAAGTAGTCTGGTTTGCATTGTTTCTTGTTTGTAATTAACTCTAATTTCTACTTCACGTGAACCTCACCGGATCGGAAAAAGTTAAATTAGATTTTTCCTATCACGTGCAGACGCCATGCTTAAACCGGCTAGCGTTACTGAGGCTCTGGCTTGGCTCTGTGACAAACCAACAACTTCACCCCGTCCGTGTCTCAACAACTTTCATCTCTCTCTCTTCACGCGACTCTCTTCCATCTCTTTGTCCTTCATCGTTCTTTGTATACCACCGTTGCAAGTATTTCGCCATCCTGATCCCCCTCCTGTAACATCAAGGTTGGGGTTTTATCACCGGATCCTGCGCCTTTGACTGTTCAGCCGTCCGCCCACGTCCAAGTCCATCAAACTTTTCGTGTCCAGCTTTTTCGCCTCCTTCCAACATGTCTCACGAAGAAGATCTCATCGACTACTCCGATGAGGAGCTTCAGGCAACTGATGCTACCGCTACTACTACCGCTGCCGCTGGCGCCAACGGTGCCGCTCCTAAAAAAGAAGGTGACCTGACAGTGGCTGGCGCGCGAGCGGATAAGAAAGGAAGCTATGTTGGTATTCACTCGACTGGTTTCCGCGATTTCCTCCTGAAGGGAGAACTTTTGCGTGCGATCACCGATTGCGGTTTCGAACATCCATCGGAGGGTTAGTTTTATTGAACCAAAAAAAAATATATATCATTTCTCCCAAGCCTCCCTCCACTTGCTCCATCTTGCAACGTCCGTCCATCTCCTCGGGGTTTTTTTGATGTACGCCGGAATCCACACGCGTGTTTTGCGGGGCCTGCAGGCGGCACGAGGATGTCTCTTCGCAAATTAGCTATGGTATAATCAAAGGGGTTTTAACGGCAGTCAGCGCACTCGGGATTGCGCGTCGTCAAAGGGACTATTTCAAACAACGGCTGGCAATATTCTGCCGCGTGGCATAACTGTCTGTCAATCTTGGTCGTTTTCGGTAAAAGGAAATGCGCCAGAACCCGCGATTTAAGATGCCAGAGACTCCTTAACCTTATATACCTTCGAAAGAGGAATGGCTATCCTCGTGCCGACCTGCAAATGCCTGTATCTGTCATCTTCAATCATCCTCGTTCTCTTATCTTCTGCTACGGATTTCCCTTACAACCCTCTTGGTTGTCATTTTTATTTCCCGGGCCAGCCTTCTTCATGTTTGCGTCTTCTTGTCAGAATTATGGGATGGACGGACGTTTTCGCAATGCGGACTTGCCATCAAAGCTTTAAATGGGTCGAATCAGTCTAACTTTTTTCCGTCGCTCCTCTTTACAGTCCAGCAAGTTTGCATCCCGACTGCCATTCTGAATGTCGATGTCCTCTGCCAGGCCAAATCTGGTCTTGGAAAAACCGCTGTCTTTGTCCTGACAACTCTCCACCAACTGGAACCAGTTCCTGGCGAATGCTCGATACTTGTTATGTGCCACACCAGGGAGCTAGCGTATCAGATCAAAAACGAATATGCCCGATTCAGCAAATATCTTCCAGATGTGAAGACTGCTGTTTTCTATGGTGGAACCCCAATGCAGAAAGACATTGAACTGCTCTCATCGAAGGACACATATCCCAACATCGTTGTTGGTACCCCTGGTCGGTTGAACGCCCTTGTTCGCGACAAGAAACTGTCTCTCCGAAACATCAAGGCCTTTGTTCTCGACGAATGTGATAAGATGTTGGATCAGATCGGTTAGTATTTGAGATTCGGGACACATCTTAACCATTTAGGTCAGCGATACTGACTTGTTACTTTAGATATGCGACGCGACGTCCAAGAGATTTTCCGTGCGACTCCCGCCGATAAACAAGTCATGATGTTTAGTGCCACCCTGTCCCAGGAAGTCCGGCCGATCTGCAAGAAGTTCATGCGCAATCCTCTCGAGGTGTATGTTGATGACGACACGAAGCTGACCCTTCACGGCCTTCTACAATACTATATTAAGCTCAGCGAGTCGGAGAAAAACCGGAAATTGAACGAGCTATTGGACAGCCTAGAATTTAACCAGGTCATCATCTTCGTTAAGAGCACCCAGCGTGCTAGCGAGCTGGACAAGCTCCTCCGTGAATGCAACTTCCCTAGCATCGCAGTCCACTCCGGAGTTTCCCAGGAAGAGCGGTAGGTTCTATTTTCCCTAACCGTCTCTCGAATTTTGGTCGCTGACTTTTCACCCTTCAATTAAGCATCAAACGATACAAGGAGTTCAAGGAATTCAACAAGCGTATCTGTGTAGCAACAGACGTTTTCGGCCGTGGTATCGATATTGAACGAATCAACCTGGCCATCAACTATGACTTGCCTGCGGATGCGGATTCGTATCTTCACCGCGTCGGCCGTGCCGGTCGTTTCGGTACCAAGGGCCTTGCCATCTCTTTCGTTAGCAGTGAGCAGGACCAAGAGGTTCTCAAGGACATTGAGAAACGATTCGAAGTTGCACTTCCGTAAGTAAAACAGTTCCCCTTTGAGGAAACCTTGATGTAGCGTCAGCACACTAACAATCCTGGCAGTGAATACCCCGAGGGAGGTGTCGACTCCAGTGCGTACATGGCATAAAGCATGTCATCTTTCACCGTGGACCGAGGAAGACCTCTATTTCACCACCATAGTAGGATGGCGTGTAGAGGTGTAAGAAGTCTTGGGCCCAACCACGGCCGTCTTAACTTTAAAACCGGTCTTGTTTTCTTATACAATTTGGCGTGTGTCGTATAACGGTCAGAGATTGTTCCGTATTGTTTTTTGCTGTTTCCCTGCTCCTCTTTGTCTCTCTCGTTAAAATCTGTGTGTTCGTATTGTACTCTTATGGTTTGCCTGTTTTTTAATCCTAGATTATCTCAAAACTTCCTTGCTTCTAATGCCGGCAAAATCTACAAAGCTCTCAAAATGTTACGTTACTCTCTTGCCGTGATTAGGGTTCTAAGGCGGACGATGGATACATACAAGTGACTTTGCGAAAATAGCGAGGCGTCAGGGAGGGAAACAGAAGACGGGAGAGGGAATATGGTTAGTTACTGTGGGGTGTTTTCTTTTTATTTTATTTTTTATCTCCTCGCTATCCGGAAAGGCTACAGAAGAATCCTGTTTGCTTCAATTCGATTCCAAGGTCGATGGGAAGATTGGGTGGTTGGGCAGCGGGATGTTTATGCAAAGAGAGGAAGAAAAAGAATACATGCCTACTCGTCTAGTTACTCAAAATGACTTTTTGATGTCCATTATGATCTCCCCCAAATATTTTCCAGAGGCGTTAGGGGACGACGGTACGGTGCATTTCATTGCCTGATCTTGGAATTTATTTATTGACACAAATTAAGCCAGGTATCGGATAACTAGGGACCTTTTTTTGCGCAATGCTTTGGATATACGGATAGTATACATCATCGACATCACGACACTCTCCCCCATTTTCTGATACTATACTCTCTACACCTCTAGGCATATCAAACTTCATATTATGCACTTCGCATCATGGCCCCCAGCTATGAGAGGTTTGATTCTAGTGGGCCATGTATTCGTCCCATGGAAAGTGTTGCTGACATGAAGTAGGTTGTGCAGATTCTTCAGTGCGAGAGTTGTCTATAGTCATAAATACAACATCATTTGTAGTTCTTGCCCATCGACCAAACAAATCGTTTTGGTGATCACAGTCCGGGGAGCTCGAACCGACGTGACATAAGCCTCCAGTAATTTCTTTTGGCATCTGAGGGGGCGAGCCTTGATTCCTTGATGTGTAACTAGACGCAGATTAACCCAGAAGATTGCTAGAAGCCAGCCCACGCGGGAGGTTTTTGAGTGATGCAGGCAACGAAGCACCTCAATGGTACCAAAACAACAACCAAAGCTCGACTTGCGGTGCTAGGGTATGAATGAATATTCACGCTACAATAGATGAAGGTCCGCCCGTCTGTTACGTTAACGGGGTTGGAATGGCTGAATGCTCGGCCTACCAATCGGCTCAGTGAC